AGTGTTCCCCCTTTGTTTCGGCACCAGATGGTAGCTCCCTACGGGGGCGTGGCCGGAGCCCCGGGCGGGGACGCGGCCTCGTGAGTGGCTGCCACGTTAGTGCTGCCTCATTGGATTCCTGGCTCGTCCCTCCGTCCGCAGGAAGGTGGTCGGCGGAAGGCTGGACCCAGAGCGCGCCAGGATTGGGTTCCTGAAGAGACTACAGATCCCAGCATGCCGAGCGGCGGGGCCCGGACCTCCTCCCACCTTGGTCCCCCGCCCTACCATGCGAAAGGCGTCTCCCGCGGGTGTGGTCCAGTCTGTGGGCCTGGGCCCGGTCGAGCTCACTTTTGTCTGTGCGGGTGAGCCAGCTGGCGTTCGTTCCTGCCAAGTCGGGTTCGTAAGAACTCAAAGCACTGCTAGGGATCGAACCTAGGATTTAATGCCGCAGCACCTTCTGCCTGTCCTCAAAACCTACCTCCATTCGGCCTCAGTCCCTCTCACTGGCTGCATGAACCAATACTGCACGGTAGTGTCTTGGTTCTTGTGGGATTTCTTGGTTTTTGCCGGTCCTGGGGCTTGAACTCAAGGCCTGGGCGCGGTCCCTGGGCCTCTTTGTGCTCAAGGCTAGTGCTCTACCACTTGAGTAGTTTGTTGGATGAGGGTCTCACGGGGACTTTGCTGCCCGGGCTGGCTTCGAACTGCCATCCTCCGATCTCAGCCTCCTGAGTAGCTAGGATGACAGGCGTGAGCCACCAGCGCCCGCCCGGCTTGTTTGCCCTTGGTCTGTGTCAGCTCCCTCCACCCTGCTGCTTACCACTGCTCAAGAAGTGCAGCTTGAGATGGCTTCGCATCCTAGTCACCGGTGGGGCATAAGATAGGCAACTGAGGCTGACATCTTTTCCAGAGACCTGGAGAAAGGCAGAGTTATCCAGATGTGCCCATACAAGTGTATCGTGCTGTAACACAAACCACATACTTGGTACTGAAAGCCTTATATACGCAGAAATATAAAAATGACACTAGTATTAAAAACCAATCTTCAAAGATTAACTGTAGAAATTCTAATGTGTCATCGCCTCAGTTGTATACATTGGTTCCATTTTCATAGGTGAACTATGCAACTTGGTGACTGAAGACTTGTGTTTGAATTATGTGTGGCCACTGGCATTGCCTAATGTGATATCCTTGTATTACATTCATCATTATAATCAGGCTGCAGATTCTCTAATGTACATATAAATCACATATTTCCCACACTGCCCACAGCTGAGAAAAAGTGTCTATGAACTCATGTGTTTAAAGCAGCTGTCTTGCATATGAAGAACTAATACTAAAATGGCATAAAAGCAGCCTCTCAATCCTTATTTTTGTGCCAGTCCTGGGGTTTGAACTCAGGGCCTGGGCACTGTTCCTAAGCTTTTTTGCTCAAGGCTAATGCTCTACCACTAGAGCCACAACTTCACTTCCAGATCTTTTAGTGGTTTTCTGGACATAAGAACCCCATGGGTTTTCCTGCCTGGGCTGGCTTTGAACTGATTCTTAATATTATTTTTTGTTGTTGTTGGTCATGGGGACTGAACTCGGCATGGGCACTGTCCCTCAGCGCCCTACCACTTGAGCCACAGCACCACTTCCAGCTCCTTTCTGTTTATGTGGTGCTGAGGAATCAAACTCAGGGCCTCATACATGCAAGGCAAGCAATCTACCACTGAGCCAACTTCCCAGGCCTTTGAACTGATTCTTAAAATTCAGCCTTCTTTTGTCAGTCATGGGGCTTGAACTCTGAGCATGGGCACTGTCCCTGAGCCATTCAGCTCAAGGTGAGTGCTCTACCACTTAAGCCACAGCCCCACTTCTGGTTTTCTTATGGTTTATTGGAGATGAGTCTCATGGACTTTCCTGCCCAGGCTGGCTTTGAACCGTGATCCTCAGATCTCAGCTTCCTGAATAGCTAGGATTGTAGGTTGTAAGCCACTGGCACCCAGCAAAAATCTCAGCCTTTTGCGTAGCTAAAATTATAGTTGTGAGCCTATGGCACCTGACCTCAACCTTTTTTTTTTTTTTGGTCCGGTTGTGGGGCCTGAACTCTGGGCCTGAGCACTGTCCCTCAGCTCTTCAGCTCAAGGCTAGTGCTCTATCACTTGAGCCACGGCGCCACTTCCGACTTTTTTCTGCTTATGTAGTGCTGAGGAATCGAACTCAGGGCCTCATGCATGCAAGGCAAGCGCTCTACCGCTGAGCCAACTTCCCAGCCCCTCAACCTTCTTTTGAAAGAAAACAAATCAAGTTGGTAGATGAAATGTCTGGTGTACAACTTTTCTCTCATGATAAACATGTTTTTTCCTCCTCCTGGGCATGGTGTTGGTACCTGCCTATAATCCCAATGTTCAGGAGGCTGAAATAGCCGATCCTGAGTTTGGGGCCAGCAACCAAGCAACTATGTTTCTGTTCCTATTTGCCTACTATAAGGAGTAATTGAGTAGTTAAAAAAAAAAATTGGAACCAGTCAATCATGTGGTCAGTTAGTTCTCTTTTTGCACTGGTGACAACACTGCACATCATCATGATATATATTTCTTTTTTTTGTCCGTCTTGGGGCTTGAACTCTGGGCCTGGGTGCTGTCCCTCAGGCTAGCACTCTACCACCTGAGCCACAGCACCACTTCCGCCTTTTTCTGCTTATGTGGTGCTGAGGAATTGAACCCAAGGCCTCAGGCATGCAAGGTAAGCACTCTACCACTGAGCCACCTTCCCAACCCCACATCATCGTGATATTGTATCTTGTCCTGTACACAAGTTCCTCATTAGCCAGGTGCTGGTGACTCACACTTGTAATCCTACACAGGAAGCTGAGATCCAAAGATGGTAATATGTAAGTTGATAATGTCTAGATTCTAGGAATCTTTTTTTTTGGTTGTAGGGCTTGAACTCTGGGCCTGAGCTCAGCTCAAGGCACTTCTGGTTTTCTGGTAGTTAATTGGAGATAAGTCTCACAGACTTTCCTGCCTAGGCTGGCTTTGAACCGCGGTCCTCAGATCTGTCTCCTGAGTAGCTAGGATTACAGGCCTGAGCCATTGGTGCAAATGCCCCCCCCCATCCCCCACAGAATATTTACTTTTGAAGTGACTCAAGGAAGGCAAAATTCAACCCATGGGAATGAAGAAAAGAAAAGTATCATGCAGTATTATTTCCCCCATCAAATTTAGTCCTAATCTAATCCTTAGAAAAGAGCCTGGGAAGAGCAGGGCGCTGGTGGCTCACGCCTATAATCCTAGCTACTCAGGAGGCTGAGATCTGAGGATCACGGTTCAAAGCCAGCCGGGGCAGGAAAGACCGTGAGACTCCTATCTCCAATAAACCACCAGAAAACCGGAAGTGGCGCTGTAGCTCAAGTGGTAGAGCGCTCGCCTTGAGCTGAAGAGCTGAGGGACAGCGCCCAGGCCCAGAGTTCAAGCCCCACGACCGACAAAAAAAAAAAAAAAACCCATGGGTTTTCCTGCCTGGGCTGGCTTTGAACTGATTCTTAATAACATTATTTTTTGTTGTTGTTGGTCATGGCGACTGAACTCGGCATGGGCACTGTCCCTCAGCGCCCTACCACTTGAGCCACAGCACCACTTCCAGCTCCTTTCTGTTTATGTGGTGCTGAGGAATCGAACCCAGGGCCTCATGCATGCAAGGCAAGCGCTCTACCACTGAGCCAACTTCCCAGCCCCTCAACCTTCTTTTGAAAGAAAACAAATCAAGTTGGTAGATGAAATGTCTGGTGTACAACTTTTCTCTCATGATAAGCATGGTTTTTCCTCCTCCTGGGCATGGTGTTGGTACCTGCCTATAATCCCAATGTTCAGGAGGCTGAAATAGCAGATCCTGAGTTTGGGGCCAGCAACCAAGCAACTATGTTTCTGTTCCTATTTGCCTACTATAAGGAGTAATTGAGTAGTTAAAAAAAAAATTGGAACCAGTCAATCATGTGGTCAGTTAGTTCTCTTTTTGCACTGGTGACAACACTGCACATCATCATGATATTTTTTTTTTTTTTGTCGGTCTTGGGGCTTGAACTCTGGGCCTGGGTGCTGTCCCTCAGGCTAGCACTCTACCACCTGAGCCACAGCACCACTTCCGCCTTTTTCTGCTTATGTGGTGCTGAGGAATTGAACCCAAGGCCTCATGCATGCAAGGCAAGCGCTCTACCATGAGCCACCTTCCCAACCCCACATCATCGTGATATTGTATCTTGTCCTGTACACAAGTTCCTCATTAGCAGAATAGAATTATAAAGCTACCAGCCAGGTGCTGGTGGCTCACACCTGTAATCCTACACAGGAAGCTGAGATCCAAAGATGGTAATATGTAAGTTGATAATGTCTAGATTCTAGGAATCTTTTTTTTTTGGTTGTAGGGCTTGAACTCTGGGCCTGAGCTCAGCTCAAGGCACTTCTGGTTTTCTGGTAGTTAATTGGAGGTAAGTCTCACAGACTTTCCTGCCTAGGCTGGCTTTGAACCACGGTCCTCAGATCTCAGTCTCCTGAGTAGCTAGGATTACAGGCCTGAGCCATTGGTGCAAATGCCCCCTCCATCCCCCACAGAATATTTACTTTTGAAGTGACTCAAGGAAGGCAAAATTCAACCCATGGGAATGAAGAAAAGAATGAAGAAAGAAGAAAAGTATCATGCAGTATTATTTCCCCCATCAAATTTAGTCCTAATCTAATCCTTAGAAAAGAGCCTGGGAAGAGTCGGGCGCTGGTGGCTCACGCCTATAATCCTAGCTACTCAGGAGGCTGAGATCTGAGGATCGCGGTTCAAAGCCAGCCCGGGCAGGAGAGACCATGAGACTCCTATCTCCAATAAACTGGAAGTGGCGCTGTGGCTCAAGTGGTAGAGCGCTCGCCTTGAGCTGAAGAGCTGAGGGACAGCGCCCAGGCCCAGAGTTCAAGCCCCACGACCGACAAAAAAAAAAAAAAAAAAAAAAGAGCCTGGGAAGACTAAAAACCAGTGAACCAAGCAAGTAAAAGTAGCCAAGAAAGGTAAGACATTTTATTGTACATACAAAAAGGGTGCAAACTGAGTCCTTTCTTCCCCAAATTGGGAAGAGGTATACTTAAAGATCCCATTTGTGTTTTCCATGGTGCCCTAGGAGATGGGCTACTCTGAGATAATGCATCAAGACCCATTTTCTATTTTCTCCAAAGGCAGCTACTTCCTCTGCAGATCGTTTTTTTCCCCAATACTCTACAAATCTCTCTCTTGGAGGAACCATTTCAAATACACCTGAAATTTGACATTCATGGTTTAAAATACTACAAAGTTTCAATTTCACAGCTGAGACTGACCAGTGCCAGGGTTTAGGAAACATTACATATCTTAAGGAAAAAAAAAAAAAGGTAAAAACAAAAAGGCATTTACAAGACATGTCACACGATTAAAACTAATTTCCACAGTTGATTTATACATTATCTAGTTAAAAAAAATTCAGTCAACATTCCAACATCTTTTCAAGAGTATAATGGGCAAAGATGAAAGAAACAGACAAATAATAATATAATAAATTAGATCACGTAAGATATACAATGGGAATTGCTAAATCATCATTATTTTCCACTGGGGAGTTATATTTTTGGTTTTGTATCTTATCTTTTCTGCTGTTACTTTCTCTGCTTGACAAAGGGCCTCATTCCCAGAGCCAGCTTGCTTAGACACTTGATTTACCTCTGCAAATACTTGGGAACTCCTGGCTCCCAGCTGCCTGGCTGTCTTAGTGAAATTCACACAGATGAGTACACACACACATGCAATCATTACCCCCCCACACCTATAAATATATTTATTCCCAAAGAAATGGCTCATCTTTCCCAAGACACTCCTAATAGATTGATAAGCCTTCTGAAAGACTTTTGGTGCAAACGCTGGCCTGGGATTTGGTCTAGAGCCCAAGAAGAGGAACACTGAAAATGTCTCACCTACCCTGAAAGACATGTTGGGGGGGAGGGGCGGCAGTCCGGACAATGGTCCCCTTGTGCATTCCTGGGATGATGGCTGCACTAGACCCCCAATTTGTTACTGTGGATAACCCACTGCTAAGACCTGAAAGGTGGTGATGGCACCGGAAAAATGATTGTGAGGAGTAAGAGAGAAACAAGTCAAAGAAATCCCGTCTACATTAAACTGGGGTTTCTTTATAACATCAAGTTTGGTTATCAGACTAGAAACATTATGGAATACATGCTTACTTTTTCCTTTGTAAGCTGACCTACAAATACTGGAGTGGGTTTCCTGGTTAGTTTTTGAGAAAATATGTCAACTACTATTGCCTATATCAGGGACCTATTTACTATTCTGAATACAATGAGAAACCTATTCTTCTGCACCTAAGTCACGTGCAAAAGGAGTAAGGGAACACATTTTTAAGACTGTTGATTGGGCCAAAGACTCCAAAACTTATGGCAAAAACACTGCTCAAAACTCTACAAAGCTAACAGAATGGCCATTTGCCTCTTCTTTTTCACAGAATCAGCCTCCACCCACCCCCCCCAAAAAATTAAAAAAACAAAAACAAAAAACCCAGACTCAAAAGGAAGAAATCCCAGCACGGGGAAGTCATGGTGATCAGTCTCTAGATGGGACTTACTTGGAGTCTGCAAAACCAAGAACAGCATAGCTAAATGCCTGTCATCCACATGGCCCATCCAGATGGAGTACCTAGTATTCCTGGCTCCCTGAGGGTCTTTGTAATTCGTTCACCACCTAGGGGTAACCATGGGGATGGTGGCAGTGGCCTGGCAAAGGCAATGTTGGCTGTATGGCCTTACAAACTCCCAATATGAGAAGCCCTAGCCCCAGCATGGTTCTGACGCTGGGGAACATTGTCAGGTCAGGGCAACTTGGTGGGACTGGAAAACTGGTGGCAATGGCCTGGATACAGGAGGCAGGTAGGTTTGGGAGGGATGCATCAGAGAATCAAGTTCCTTTAAGGGCTGCTTGCTCATTGAGGAATGCAGCCATGCTTGCTCACTAGGAAGGGATTCTATCATCCATGTTGGAAAAAAAAAAAAAGAAAAAGTTAAGGCTATGATGTTAGAGATCACTTTAATGTAACATTACCACTTGCATATTTTTCAGGCATTAAAGTGATTACTAACACTGAAAATTGACACTGAAGCAGAGCTAGTAGCACATTTCTACTGATTTAGGGTGAAAGTTTGAAAAAGTTACTTTAGAGAAGATGGACAGGGACCATTTCTATATATTTGGAGCTCACTGCAAATAAATAATCGACACTTCTACTTGAAACCTCAGGATCTCTGCTGCCTGCAGCAGCTCTTGAACTAGCAGCTAATCTAGTCATTACATATCTTCCTGAACCCTGTTTGGCTCAGACAGACGCTGACACAGAATGGTGATTAAGGCAGTCCTGAATGCTCACCGCTAGCAGGATGCTCCACTCTCTCTAGTAGGAAGTCTGGAATCAGAACTCAGCAAAGTGCCAAGGTATGAGAGGCCAAGTGATTCACACTTGAGCCTCGTGACTGCACAGGCATAAGTCCCGGTGGCTTCCTGGCCTGTTTGCCCCAGTCTGTGCAGGCTTCAGTACCTGAGGGATGCGAGGGCTTGCGAGAACTCCTAATGGATTTCAATGAACAGATGCTGAGCCTTAACATGATGACATTCTTCTCAAAAGAAAATGATCCTCAGGCATCACAGCTGTGAAATGGAGACAACTCTTAACTAAGTTCAAGTGGATTTAGGGCATAGGCAGGGAGAGGGATTACCTTTGAAATGGACAGGGCAGGGGGGGGAGCTGGTGTGCTGGTGGGAATGGAATTGGTGGCCGAAATGCTGCTGGGGTCCTTGGTTTTGAGGGGTTTTCGTTTTTTTAAAAAAAAATTTTTTTAAGGAAATCAAAACAGAGTATCTTAGGTCTGAGACCACCTTGGAGTGTCAATGGCCTTGGAAAAAAAATCACCATTACCCTGCATGCTAAAGGGACCTAGAGCTCTTCAGCTTTGTCTTGAAAACCTAAACATCTAGTAAGGTGGGAATTTGCAGGGGCTGGAGGGTGAGGACAATACAGTAGCAAGCACCCTTCCCCACTCCTGCTAACAACTCAAGCTAAAGTTAGACAAAAGAAAAAAGAGCTCAGCAAGACAGTCCCAAAGCCAAGCTGCTTACTGTCTTTGATTTTTTTTTTCTCCTGCGCATGCAGGGGGGAGGGGGGAGGCACTTAGGGGGGATACAGAGTGCCAGGATGCTCCAGGCTTTGCCACCATTTCCCCTGCCCTCCTTTGAGAGGCAAGGCATTTTCTATGCTGGGATGAGGACGCTCAAAGTTTCTACATGGGGAGTTAAAAGTTGCCCAAATGCCAAATGAGAGATCATAAAATCTCGGTGATGGACTTTAAGCACTAGGAAGGAACAACAAGGAAGCAGACTCCAATATTCCTGTGGGGAAAGGTGTGACAGTCTCTCCCTGCCACTATTTCATATGCAGAAACATTCCTTGTAAAGAAATGGCAGATTGCAGTCTTTATATAGCGAGCTGAGCAGGGCAGGAGCCAGTGAAGAGCTTATTCCCTAGTTAAGATTCAATGGAACAGGTGAAGGCCAAGGGCTGACTTACAAGAATGCTACTTCTGTTCTATGTAAGCTACGTCCAGTGATGTGTCAGGAAATGTCAACTACCAGAAAATATCCCCATACTCCAGTTCAAAAGACAGCCCTCCACAAGCCAGAGGCAAGAACTTCCGTGTTCCCCAAGTCACTAGCCACTGTCCTGCACGCTTAGCTCCTCGCTCTCAGATACCAGACCTCTTTTCCTGATGTGAAAAATCCCTTCGGTCACATCTGGAATGAGAAGTCACTGTTTGGAAAGGCCACTTAACTCGAACGAAAATGGAGCAGGACAAGAGTTACCCACCCCCACATATTATTAGGTCCTCAAAACAGGGAACGAGGAACCAAGATTTTCTGCTGTAAGCACGTCATGCAAATACGGCATGGTGGCGGGTAGAGATGGTGCACTGGAAAAAAACGTGCGTAGATGCATGGCCATCTTATCTGGAAGAAGTCTATGTTCAACTGAACATAATTTTAGACCTTTTCTCTACAGTATCCTTTCACCAGTATTTTTTTTTTTCCAGCACCAACCAATCCTACCCTCCTGGTCACTGGCAGCCATATGTGCCAAGTTCTAACCTGCAGTTACAGACCTGGTTGGACATCTTTGTATGCATTGTTTCTGATAAGGCAGGCCAGCCTGAATGCTACAACTCAGTATTGAGGCAGCCAGGGTATTACCAATTTTCTTTTCCTGGACATATGATGCTGTACCCCAAGGCTTCTCTGGCAGTTAGCTGGAAGGCAGGTTCACTCTTTTTGTCCACTAGTGGCATTGTGGTGGTGGCTGTTTAATCAGTAATTTTGTCACCAGAGAGTCAACATGGCTATCTAGTAGGAAGTCCCTGGCAGTGAAGGAAAAAGACATTTGTGTTGTTTTCTTGTTGTTAAGCATCTGCTCTCTGGGACGGGCTGTCTCCTGGTCAGTCTGGCTGGGCTGCTCACTTCACATGCAGGAGAGCTGGGCTTACAAACTGCAGGCTCATTAGGTCAAGAGGCTCTGGTGGGGACTTTTCTTCAGCAGCTGAGAAGATGAATGAAAATTCAAGTATGTTTCCTTGTCAACCTGAGTATTTACTCAGTGTGACAGAGTTTGGCTTCTTCTCTTCCGGGGGCTGCAAGTCGAACTTTCCATTGAGTCTGTCCTCTGGACCCAGGTTCTCTCTGAATGGCTTGGCTGGCCTGTTCCCTCACAACTGAAAAAAATAAAACCCCCAATAGAACCAGACACAATATGCATCTGCCGTGGTTTTTTTTTTCTTTTTTCTTTTTTTTTAAAAAACCAAAAACAAAAAAAAAACTAAAAGTGCAAAAAAGTCAGTTTTCTTTCCTTTGCTCAGAGCAATTTGCATGTCCTACCACTGCCTGGAGAAAGGAATTTGTCAAAAGAGCTAAGAACGCCAACACACAGGGACAGTAGACTGCAGATTTCTCACAGCTTGTGTCCTACAGTGTAATTTTGCAGGAGGGAAGGAAGAAGGAACCTGGCCACTGGGCTAGAGGCTGCCCAAGAGCAGAGGGAAAGGAAGCCAAACTGCCAGACACACCTAGGAACCAGAGAAGGTTCTCCTCCAGCCCAGGTCTACCATCTTCCTCCTACCTCCTTGGCAATACCCCCAACCTCTTGAGCCCCTTTCCTTAGACAAAGCCTTCTGCTCACTAGCTTTGATCCTGGAGAGGGTTCAGGGTAGAACAAGAACCAGGAGAAAAGAAGAGGTGGGAAGAGAACAGTAGTCCTTGAGTTTTTGTGAATGACACCTTCACTGTAAACAATGGGAAGGAGAGTTGACCAAGCAGCCCCATGGGCAAGCAGTGTAAGAGCAGCAGCTCTGGGACCTGCTCAGAGCGTCAGACAGGTTTGGGATGGCCACTGATCCACTGGGCCTTGGCTGCCCACACTGGCTCCTTCTGGGGGCATCTGTTTTCTTCTTTTTGGTTTGGATCTCTATCCTCCCCCACAAAGGAGTCTTTTCCAATGAGAAATGGCAGGAGCTGCAGGTGCAATCAAGTCAGAGTCCCCAGGGCCTGAGGACTCTTGGGAGGCACTGGTCACTTGTGGCGCTGAGCAGTCTTCTTCCTTTTCCTCTTAAAGAAACAGCAGCACCTATAGCACAAGGAACATTGCAAGTCAATGCTAGAAGCCTGATTGTGCTTACTGAATATCAGAGTAGGATTTCTCCCCCGGTACCCACCCACAGAGCCACCTACCATCTCTAATGGGTGGGCGGGTACACAAGAGGTGGCAGGCAGTGTTTTCCAGGAAAGCCAAGGGAAAGAACTGAACTGCTTTATTTTAATTTGCAGATACCCAACCTAATCACCAAAATGCTGAAGGGTAGGTATGGAAGGTATTCTGGAAGGAACATGAAGAGGGCTTCTTTCCTAGTCTAAAACCCAACCCAGATGATCCACCTTTGTCTAGAATCAAGGCTGGGGATCCTCAGGGTTGCATGAAAATAGTCTGCATTGTCTGTACACTTGATAATTAGAGCCACTCACTAGTCAGTGTGTAAAGAGGTCAAAGCAAGGCAAACGAATAAGATTTGGAATCATAGAGGATCTCATGGTGCTACCCACCAGGATTAAAGCATCTCTCTGCCCCATTCCTGTTCCCGTGCAGCTGCATAGTAGGCAGGAGAACCTTTCTTAGAAGGACCAATGTCCATCCGGGGAGCTGATCCCTACGAGGCTCTCTGGATGCAGAGAGTCCCCACTCAGCTCCCAGAGACTGCTGCTACTGTGCAGAGCAGGCTAGGGAAGGCTTACTTATCGTAGAGGTTGGGGTTCCCCCAAGGGCTACCTCTTGAGAAACAGCCTCACTTCTGACATCCCTCTTCCCAGAGCCCTTTCTTACTCTGGACTAGGAAACATGGCTTTGCTTAGACAATCCAGATGAAGGCTGGTACAGAAAACAGGGTCTTTTCCAGGAACTGACACAGAAAATGAGAGCATGAGGGGCAGAAGATGGTGGATGAGTCAAAGAAGCCAGATGAGGCAAGAGTAAAGTTACAAGTGTAAGCTCAGACTTGCTTGACCTGGAAAGAAAAACTTTTCTAAAAAACTTATCTTTAATATCTTTCACCAAATCTGCTCAATTTTTGTTTTTGTTGTTGTTTTTGTTTTTTCCAGTCATGGTGCTTGAACTCAGGGCCTAGGTGCTGTCCTTAAGCTCTTTTGCTCAAGGCTTAGCACTCTACCAACTTTGAGCCACAGCGGGGCTTCCAGTTTTTAGGTGGTTAACTAGAGTTAATAGTATCACAGACTTTCCTACTCCTGCCCTGAACTGCGATCTTCTTTTCACAGACTCCTGAGTAGCTAGAATTACAGGCATGAGCCACCAGCACCTGGCTATCCTTTCAGTTTTAAGGAAAGGAATATTCATACAGAAATAAAGAACTAGTACTCACTTCCAAAACCCCTGACCAGGTTCTCTATGACAACCAAGAGTTCTTCTCCATGCAGACGACTTAGCATTGCTATAACCAATGGATGCATTAGTTAAAACATACACAAAGTTTCTTAGAAGAAATAAACATTTAAACAGACAATGGGGGGCTGGGAAGGTGGCTCAGTGGTAGAGTGTTTGCCTTGCATGCATGAAGCCCTGGGTTCGAGTCCTCAGTACCACATAAGCAGAAAAAGCTGGAAGTGGTGCTGTGGCTCAAGTGGTAGAACGCTAGCCTTGAGCTGAAGAGCTGAGGACAGCGCCCAGGCCCAGAGTTCAGGCCCCACAGCCAAAATAAATAAACAAACAAACAAGTGGTGGGCTTGAATTGTACTTAGATGAATTACAAAACTTGGAAATTGTAGACATAAAGAGTTTTTCTTTGGCAGTACTGGGGGTTGGCCTTGTACCTGCCTAGCATGTGTTTGAGCCTTGCCTCTGCCTCCAAGCTAAAAATAGGAGTTTTAAAAAAGGGTCTCTGGTGGTTCACACCTGCAATCCTAGCTACTCAGGAGGCTGAGATCTGAGATACAAAATTCAAAGCCAGTCAAGTCCCTGAGACTCTTATCTCCAATTAACCACCAGAAAACAGGAAGTGGCACTGTGGCTCAAGTGGTAGAACGCTTGCCCTGAGCTGAAGAGCTCAGGGACAGTGCCCAGGTTCAGAGTTCAAGCCCCACGACCACAACCCCCCCAAAAAAAACAAAAACAAAGAGGTTCTTCAAACATTTTTTTGTTAGAGATGAAGACTCAAACTCAGTATCTGACACTTTCACCCACTGGCTGGTACTCTACTACCACACTTCCAACCCACCACCATCTTTTTAAATACTATTATTAATGGGTGTGAATATACTTAACTAACTAAGCAAGTGTCATATATGTGTGTATGTGTGTGTGTATACATACATATATATATATATATTTGGAAATGGAACAAATTCTTTTAAGTAGAAATAATCAATACTTTTGATTGCTTAAAAATAGTACTTAATGGAGGGTTGGGAAGGTGGCTCAGTGGTAGAGTGCTTGCCTTGCATGCATGAAGCCCTGTGTTTGATTCCTCAGCACCACATAAGCAGAAAAAAAAAAAAAAAAAAAAAAAGCCAGAAGTATCACTCTGGCTCAAGTGATAGAGCACTAGCCTTGAGCTGAAGAACTGAGGGACAGAGCTCAGGTCCAGAGTTGAGGCCCCATGACCGGACCAAAAAAAAAAGTCCTTAATGGAAACCTTTGGAAAGAGTTAAAGAAAAGAAGTCTTTTTAGCTATCCATACATATTAGAAATAGACATTTTCCAAGTTGAATGTCTAGAAATTAATAGTTAAGAAGACAAATTTAGCTGGGTGCTGGTGGTTCAAGCCTGCAATCCTAGCTACGCAGGAGGCTGAGATCTGAGGATCTGCAGTTAGAAGCTAGCCTGGGCAGAAAAGTCTATCTATAATAAACTACTCAGAAGAAGCAGGGAGGCTGGGAAGGTGACTTAGTGGTAGAGCATGAGGCCCTGGGTTCGATTCCTCAGCACCACATAAGCAGAAAAAGCCAGAAGTGGCGCTGTGACTCAAGTGGTAGAGCGCTAGCCTTGAGCTGAAGAGCTGAGGGACAGCGCCCAGGCCCAGAGTTCAGGCCCCACAACGGACAAAAAAGAAAAAAAAAGAAAAAAAAAAGAAGGAAAAAGCTGGAAGTGGCACTGTGCATCAAGTGACAAAGCACTGCCTTGAGCACAAAGAGTTTCAGGCACAGCACCCAGGCCTTGAGGTTAAGCTCCATGACCAGCAAAAGAAAAGAAGACAAATTTTCATAGGAGCACCAATATTTCAACATCTTGTTCTCTCGTAAGAATGGCATTACTAACATTTTTTTCTTCCTTTTCATTTCTTTTGGTGGTACTAACAAATTGAACTCAGGGCTCAAGATTGTTAGGCAAATGTTTTACCACTTGAGCTTTGCCTGTAGTTCAGGAGGCTAAGATTTCAGCTAAGAGAATGATTTTATGTGCTTTTAAATAAAAGCAGTAAAAAAAAAAAAAAGCAAAAATACTGGATCCATCTCAAAGTACAAAATTACATCTCTTTTTACTCCTCCAAGACAAATCATATGAATTAATGTCTGCCTACAAACACATTATAATTTGATGTGCAATGCTGAATCACTCACTGGAGAAAAGTGTTAGCTGTGGTTCAGAAGTATATATTTTAAATTTAGAGCCCTCAAGTTTTCTTAGTAACTATAAAACTTCAACAGTGGAAGCTACTAATTATATCCACAATCTGTTTTTTTAAATCTTTGCTTTCAGAGATAAATACTAGCAACAGGATCCACTAAACTGAGCTAACTCTAGACCAAGTCCACCGATAGACTGAACAGATCTGTTACTCTCAGAGGAGAGTAAGGGCAGGTGATCAGTTATTCTTGTCTTAGGTTCCTTCCCAGTAGATTCCTTGACTCTTTGCAGTTCAAGATTTCCTACTTCGGAGCATCAAGCACTTTTCCTACAGACCTCTGCCCAGCACTTTTTCAGATTGCTTCTTCACTGCATCCTGGCTCTCTCTCCCTTCACAGCCACTGCCTTGCTGTGTTCCTCTTCTCTACCATATTGGTACATTCTTCCTTTGCTCCAGTCCTGCTGTTCCTATCAGTTCTTTCTTGACCACTCACAGTGACCTCTCACCTCTTCAATCTTCTGGGAATGATAACATAAGGGTCCTAGCATATTTTCTGGTTCTTTCATATGCCTTTGTTATGTCTCTCCAGCTTGACAGCATTCTTCCCCATCCCCCGCCCTCTACCGCCAGTCCTGGGGCTTGAATTAGGGCCTGGGCACTATCTTGAGATTTCTTTTGCTCAAGACTAGCACTATACCACTTGAGCCACAGAGCCACTGTGGGCTTTTTCTGTTTAGGCGGTACTGAGGAATCGAAGGCAGGGCTTCGTAATACTAGGCAAGCACTTTACCACTAAGCCACATTCCCAGCTCTGCACCTAAGTTCTTAAGGCAGGACCTGGTACCCCCTAGAGTGCCAAGCACAGGGTTTGATGAACATACTACTACTTAGGGTAGCACTATAATACTACCCAATATTCCCTGAAGCATAATACTACTTAGTGACCTGGCAACTCAGAGGAAAAAAGTAGACCATGACAAATGTCAGATGACATACACACATATTTGCAAAACCAACAGGCCAAACACACTCTGAAACCCTAAAGACTACAAATCTTATCTTCATAAAACCCAAATTACACATCCTCATTCCTAGGGAAACCCCTGTGAATTCTTTGGCTTAGATAAGTTAGGGCCTCAGAAATCAGTGCCCAACCTGGTAACTGGAGAGACACCGAAATGAGGTAGTCATAGAATACGGCAGGCTGGTAGTGTGGTATAAAACATAGCCTGTGTGTACAGACTGTGTGAGAGAGTTAGACTTCCTGACTGTAACAAACCAGCAAGTTCAGGGGCACCTGGAAGACCACAGGTAGTATCCAGGAATAAAGCTAGTGAGAGGACCCTGTTTTACAGCAAAAAAGTTCCTCACCAACAGGAATCGGTTAGCACTTCTTGCATATACCTCTGCTGTTCCTAAGAATCTACCTGAGGAGCCTTTTCTAGGAGTCTCCAGTATCTCCCTCAGCTGAGTCATCAGCCTTGGCCCACTATCCTCTCTTATAGGAACAAAGAAAATGACAATAAATGGAAAACAGACCAAACAAACCCCCACAGGGCAGCACAATGTCCACCTCATCCCCCAGGAATTCACTTTTTTTTTCAAAGACTTATACTCTAGAGATGGAAGAGCTAGCTGAGCCCAAAAGAAAAGTCATAGATTTTTCCAGAAAAGCCAGTTTCTAAGTTAGAAACCAAGCTGCAGAATGTGGGGTTATCTGGCAACAACCCTGTCCTTGCAGTGGTAAGGAAACAACTGCTTTCTAAATGACTCATGTAGAAACCTTACCCTCTTACCTTGGTTCTGTCATATTATTTGGGAGAAAATCCATTTAGCTATCACTAAAGAGCTGATCCTGGATACTTTGTGCTCTTGTTTTGGCAGGAGGAGGCAGAGATGAATGAGGTGGTGTGAAAGGAAAGATGGAATAGACTTAATTCCTGGGTACAGGCCTGCCCCGTTCCCACCTTGTGGATCTAGTTTCCCAACTAGGTGGCTATGGCACAAGGAGGCATGTAGAAGCCATTCAATGACTCTAAGGCATTTTGTTTGGTTTTGCCAATCCCAGCCTAGTCTGGTCTGCTCCCCTTGCATGTGGACTGGAGAGAGGACTCACCACAGGTTGAGCATTTTCAGGCAGCTACAGAGTATGTAAAGAGAAAAACACAGAAAGGAAGAGAGAGAAAGAGATATTAGTCCACAGAGGTGAGATGGAAGGCACGCCCTGCGAGCCATGCAAACATGCAGAATGTGTCTGTGTTTAGTTTCTTCCTGTTGAGCGAGGGTGAACAGGCCACTGGGTCCCCACGTTGAGGTGGAGGGGAGGGACACTGACAGCATTAAGTTGGAAGCTGGGTCTCAGTGGGAAGACAAAACAGAAAAGAAGGGGTGGGAGCCTCAAGGGGGCTTTGCTAGACAACTTCCAGGAAGGCAGCTGGGAAAGGAGCAAAATGACCTTCCCTGTGAGAATTTCGTCAAGCACCAAACCTGAGTCATTTGGTCCCAACACAAGGTGGGGACAAGAAGTTATACAGGGCTGAGGCAACCTCCCTATTCTAAGAGAAACCTATCCCTAGGTTTGTTTCTTTTTTTTAAGCACAATATGCCTGAGCAAAGCAGCTAGTGGTTAACTCCTCCAGTAGAGGGAAAAAGGTTAAGAGACCATTGTATTTTATCAGAAGATGAAGCAGAGGAAGGCTGGGTATACCTAGCAGAGAAGGAACTAACGTCTATGCTTATTAATTCTCTGGAGAAATGAGACCTCGATTTGTTAACTTATAACTGAAGTCTGGATAAGAAAAATTCCTATGTTCTGACTAGAATCAAAATCACCCAAAGAGCTGCCTGCCCTTACCACTCTTCCAACCATACTGTAGCTGTCCTGCAGCTGGAGAAAAAGGAAAGTCAAAGAGTCATCTGATAACCAAGACCCTGTCATTTCTTTTCACCTTTACACAATACAAGCTGGGTGAGGAAACCCAAATCAAAAGGCTTCAGTCTCCCCAATACCCAAGCTGAACTGAAATATGGGTAACACCATTATTAACCTCTTCCCTCCCAGGGCCAGAGGCACAAATGGCATCACAGCTATGAGCAATGAGGCGGATGCCTCAGGATTTTCTAGCTGTGACTTCTTCCCAGGAAAATGATCAGACACATGGCTATCCTGTTCTTACCCCCATACACACAGAAGGCCAAGAAGAATAACACATCTGAGTCCTGACAGTTCCCTAAGCAAGATGAATTGGCAACTTATAAAACCAGTAGGGAATCTGCACACAAAATGCCCTAAGCAAATGCAACTGCCTCTTTTAGCCTCCACACCTTTCCAAGAGCCAAACTTCCAGCTGGTGGCAAAGAGACCAGTGGTTCTATTTGCTAAATGGAAAGAATTTAACCTCCTTTCATATTTCAGATGGTAGTGTACAGAATACACTGCATTATACTTTGTATGAATGATCCCCTATCTTACACATAGGACAAACATCACACTCACATACAAAACTAGTGTACACGTTTGCCAGGATGAAACAAAATGAAAAGGTCCAAGAAATAAGCCTGTCTAGAGCATATCATATTACTAAAAGATCCCCTTGATCTTGTTATTATTCGAAGTATACCATGAAACTCTCTCAGAGGAACAGACTAGATAAAGTTCTAAAAAGAGCTACAAATATAAATTGGGGGTTGGTACAGCTCTCTTTCATGATCAGGGCATGTGTGGCACAGTGGTTCTAACTTGGCTATATAACAGAATTGCGTAAACTTCTAAATTTTTTGATGTTCAGGCCAGATACCAAAACTTCAAGTCAGAATCTCTCAGGCATTTGTATTTTCTAACCTGTCCCAGGTTACTCTAAAGCACAGTGAAGGTTAAGAGCCCAGAGGTGGGAGCATCATATTGCTAGTAGAGGAGCCTGACAGCAACATTTTGAGTCCTATTAAAATCTCCAAAGTCTCTGAGAATATGGAGCAAGTTTCTTTACTGAAAAACCTGGGGCACCACTCTCCCTCCTCACCTGCCTCAGGTATTAGTGCCTCTATGGGCCAGGAGAAGAGTATCTGAGCAGGAGCTCAATAAGATACAGAGCCCAAGTCTTTCTCAGTTGCTTCTCATCTGTTGGACAGGACTTCCTGAAGGCAAAGCAAGCTCACCAGATGGGCAAAAGCATGCAAAATGTATCTGGGAGGAAGAACTCAGCTCTTGGTAGGCATCACTGTGGACTTAAGCCCAAAGGTGGCTTGTATTTGGACTATATAGGTGCTCAAGAGACCATGTAGGGCACACTAGTACTACAAATACATTGCTCAGGGAGAACAAGTTACTGGTATATCCTGAATGTTCTAAAAAGGCTTACAAGAAAAGTCATCTACATTATGATTCTCTTTCTCCCTATGTGATATTTTCTTGGAATTTGATCTGAGTTTGGAATGAGGAAAAAGGGAAAGAGATGGTAGAAATGCTGCTTTTGCAGTAGAATCAACAATCACTTCACCTTCCACCCCAGACTCTTTTAAGAGTTTAAACACAGACCATGCAGAGAACATCAAGGGGCCAAGGGTATGGACAGGGCAAGACATACACATGCAAGAGAAGCAGAAAAGAAAGTGAGGTGGCCACCCCACTTTCTTGGGACTAGGAGTACTTCTTTTCTTACCCAAGACTCTCACAGACATGGATTTTTCTTGCCTGACGTATGTACTTACTCTTTCTAAGTCTAGAATCATTTGAGAGGGAAACAGCCGTGAAACCCTTCCAGAGATGTCCGCTATCAACCAGACATTTAATATCAGTCACCATGGCCATGGTCTAGGTTTTGTCTCTGCATCCAATAGGAAGCAAAAAAAAAAAAAACCCCTCCAGGGCACCAGGAAGCTTATGGTAACTATCTACGGTAGCCCTCATAACATAATTATTTTATTTCACTAAGTCTATCTTTCCAGAGATCATAGCTAAAGGTGGCAGCAGCCTTAAGGTACCATGCAAAAAAATAAAGTGGTCAAGGAAGAAAGCTGTAGACACAAGCATGAGGAATCTAGTCTGAGATGAGAAGCACACAGAAACAGAAAACATTTTCCAACCCACAGTTCCAGAGCCCCTTTGAAAGATGGACGTACTTAGCTTCCTCCACTACCTCCACCTCAGCATGAGCTGTGATTGGTGCGTTCGAATGGTCTCCAGTGGGGTCATCCACGTTCAGCTCTCCATTGGTTGAACTAACCACCTGAAACAGAAAGGTAGACTGTGACAAGCACCAAGGCAATATGAGGTTCCTGCCAGGGGTAGGGCAGGTCACTAAGGGGGATCTGATCTCAAGCTTAGATACTAGCCAGTCAGGGTCAGGAATGTTTGTTTTCCTGCCCTCAGGGGCCTATTGTCTCAATTTAGAGCAAGATCCCATCATAGAATGATGACAGTAACTTCCACAATGAGTACCTACTTTCTGTCAGGCACTATGATACACTAGCTCCACGTGTATAAATTTAAAGCTCAAAACCTTATGAAGAGGTCATTTTTTTCACTTTTTTATTATTAGTTATTTTATTCATTTGATTTATAATTAGGTATTCTTAGCCACTCCTGAGAAGTTTAGGAGTAGCTCTTAGGCTGGGATTGCCTGAAGTTCCATCTGTCTATAGGGGACAGCTGTCCTATGAATGACATTTCCATCTTTTGTTTTTTAATCCTATTACTTTCTTTTAATGGATGGAAGCATTAAGAAATGACTTAACCAAGAGTTGTCATTGTAGATTTACAGGATAGAAATTTGTTCTAAACTGATTTTTTTTTTTACATATTACAAAAATGCAATAGTGCTTTATTAAATTGAAAATTAAAATGCAATTGCATAGTTGTCATCTTTTCCTTTTTGTTTGAGTCCAGTCTCACTATATAGCCCAAGCTGGCCTCAAACTGATTACGTAGACCAGGATGGCCTTTAACCTGCTGTTCTCCTGTGTCACCACCTATGTCCTGGGACTGCAGGCACGAACCACAATGTTTGGTGTCACAGCTGACTTAAACTCATTCTATTCTCTTGAACATAGTGGATAAATTCTACTCCTTTCAGTTTATAAGTTCATAGATTCAGTAATTATGAACTTTAAAAAAATTCTGAAAAGGAAACCAAGAGTAGGCATCAGAGATAATAAACAATCACACTTTCCTTTGAAATTTCTTCATAGCTTTTGACCACTTTGAAGTTATTTAACAAGACTGGCTTGTCCTCTCTGGTGAGAGGGAAGATGGTAAGGAAACACTTTCCCTTGGAAAGCCAGTCTTATTTCAACGACTTTTATTTCAGGTTCAATGTCATCCCACTCCTCACTGATGGTCCCCGGACTGTAAATGGAAGCTCTCACTCCTGTCATCTGGTTAATGTGGACCCGATCAGGCTTCTCTTGCTGATGCAGCTGCTTCTGCCACTTGGTTTCATTTCCAGCACATGATTCCTGTTTATGTGGGTGCTGGGGAGTGGGAAAAGGGACCCCGCTGGACAAACCATTCTGCTGTTAAAGATCTTGGCTGAAACATGGGAGAGAACCACAAAATAGGATAAATGGTTCGAATATCGTAAGCCCTTGGGTAAGTAACTTCTATTTGAGACTGTTCTTACAAGTTGAAAGAATTATATAAAAAATGTATAGGACAGTAGTGAGTATAATACCTGGTATATAATAATGGAGGTGGCAAGATATAGCAAATAAGAACTGGGCTCCAGAATTAGTCAGCTCTGGGCCTGAACCTCATTCCCACCACTTACTTGCTGTGGGTCCTTGGGCAAAGTTCACAATCTTTCTATGCCTGAGTTTCCTAGTCTGTAAAATGGGACAATGCTGCTTACCTACTGGAGTTGCAGTTCAAATAATGCACAAAAAATGCCTATCCAGGGCTATGATATGTCATGATGTATGGTAATAGCTCAATAAATGTTTATCTCATTGTTAATCACCGGCTACAATTGGTGTGTGTGTGTATGTGTGTAGATGGGTTAGTGCTAGGGCTTGAACTCAGAGCCTTTCTCCCTTAACCTTTTTTGCTCACAGCTCCACAGCTTAAACCACTTACTCACTTCTGGCTTCTTGCTTGTTAACTGGAAATAAGAATTTCTTGCATTTGTCTACTTTTGCTGTTTTTTTGTTTTTGTCATTCATGGGGCTTGAACTCTGGGCCTGGGTGCTGTCCCTCAGCTCTTCAGCACAAGGCTAGTGCTCTACCACTTGAGCCACAGCGCCATTTCCAGTTTTCTGATGGTTAATTGAAGATAAGAGTCTCACGTAGCTTCCTGCCTGGGCTGGCTTTGAACCACGATTCTCAGATCTCAGCCTCCTGAGTAGTTAGGATTTAGTGTGAATCACAGTGCCTGACTTTACAAATGTTTATTCTTATCTGTCTCTAGTTTTGGTGTCCTTACTAGCAGCTTATTTGCATACATTCCTCAACAATCATAGAGGAAGATGGGAGAACTGTTTAGTACATATAGTCTTTGCAAGAGATGGTGAATACTACCTACCAGCAATTTATAGCCACCATGTTTTAAATCAGAATAATTATGGTTCTTTTTTTTTGGGGGGGGGGGGTCGGTTGTGGGGCCTGAACTTGGGGCCTGGGTGCTGTCCCTCAGCTCTTCAGCTCAAGGCTAGCACTCTACCACTTGAGCTACAGTGCCACTTCTGGCTTTTTCTACTTATGTGGTGCTGAGGAATCGTTCAGGGCCTCATGCATGCAAGGCAAGCACTCTACCACTGAGCCATCTTCCCAATCCAACTATGGTTCTTATTAAGAACATAAATTATAAAAAATTTTAAATAATACTGTGTGGTTAGCAGAAAATATCTACATTATTAAATCTGGATTGGTTAAAGGGAGAGCTAAACTTCTCTAAGTCAAAGTTAGTATCTGATTTGTAAGAAACCCGACTTTTATCTTTTTTTTATTGTTTAATGTACCATACATCATGATCCATATTCACAAAATGTAGAGCCCATCCTGACCTTATCTTGACATAATAAATACTATACAAAATAGTATTTGCCTTCTGCAATAAAAAGATTTTCTGCCAAGTATCACTGGCTCATGCCTGTAATCCTAGCTACTCAGAAGGCTGAGTTCTGAGGATCATGGTTCTCAGCCTGCCTGGGCAGGAAAGTCTCCAATTAACCACCTAAAAACTAAAAGTGGAGCTGTGGCTTAAGTGGTAGAGCCCTAGCCTTGAGCAAAAAAATCTCAGAGACAGTGCCCAGGTCCTGAATTCAGGCTGCAGGACTGACATTTAAAAAAAGGAAAAATAAGCGAAGTTTTCTTATTAATCTAATCATTATTTTAAAAATTAGACAAAAAAGTGTAGGATATCCTATAGGACTTCTAGAAATGACACTTCAAAAAAGACTCATAGTTTTTTTTGTTTTTTGTTTTTTTTGTGTGTCAGTAATGGGGCTTTGTCCCTGAGCTCTTTATTCATAATTACTATGAACACATTTTATACCACTATTCTAGCTATATTACACAAGCTCATATGGGTAATCCAGGAGAAAGATTAAGTACTATTTTGATTTTTACTCCTTAAATTTGGTAATATTCCTTGTAGGAATTTCAAAACTTTAAGTTACATGTCCTATTTTCCAAAATGTCAAAGCAGCAGAGCTGTGTACCAAAGTCATTCCTTGGTCCTAGACTTTTTTTTTTTTTTGGTCGCTTGTGGGGCCTGAACTCTGGGCCTGGGCACTGTCCCTCAGCTCTTCAGCTCAAGGCTAGCACTCTACCACTTGAGCCACAGCCCTACTTCTGGCTTTTTCTGCTTATGTGGTGCTGAGGAATCGAACCCAGGGCCTCATGCATGCAAGGCAAGCGCTCTACCACTGAGCCACCTTCCCATCTCCTCTTATGTATTTTAATATAAACAACTTCAGAACAACTTTTTTTTTTTTTTTTGGTCGGTCATGGGGCTTGAACTCTGGGCCTGGGCACTGTCCCTCAGCTCTTCAGCTCAAAGCGAGTGCTCTACCACTTGAACCACAGCATCATTTCTGGTTTTCTGATGATTAATTGGAGATAAGAGTCTCACAGACTTTCCTACCCAGGCTGGCTTTGAACTGCAATACTCAGATCTCAGCCTCCTGAGTAGCTAGGATTACAGGCATGAGCTATTGGCGCCCAGCCAGAATAATCTTTGGAAAAGAAAAATAGTATTGTCTTCTTTTTCTTCCTTCCTTCTTTTTTTTTTGGCCAGTCGTGGGGCCTGAACTCTGGGCCTGGGCGCTATCCCTCAGCTCTTCAGCTCAAGGCTAGCTAATGCTCAAGGCTAGTGGCTCTATACTTGAGCCACAGTGCCACTTCCGGCTTTTTTCTTTTTGCTTATGTGGTGCTGAGGAATCGAACCCAGGGCCTCATGCATGCAAGGCAAGCGCTCTACCACTGAGCCACCTTCCCAACCCCTCTCCAGATTTCTTGGTGTTTGTATAGACAACAGGCACTTCCCAGTTGCTTGATATGCTTATCATATCTTCTTTGGCTCATTTTTACATTCCTGTTCTAATCTTCTTAATGGGGAAGACCCATCTCATTCCCATCCTAGTATTTCTATAAATCTCTTTTGTGTGGAAAACCTAAATTCAAGAAGAAAATACTGGCCTGGGAATGTGGTTTAGTGGTAGAGTGCTTGTCTAGCATGCATGAAACCCTGGGTTTGATTCCTCAGTATCACATAACAGAAAAAAGCCAGAAGTGGCGCTGTAGCTCAAGTATAGAGCCACTAGCCTTGAGCACTAGCTAGCCTTGAACACAGAGAGGCTCAGTGCTCAACAACAACAACAAAAAAGGCTGAAGGCAGGATGTGGCCTATTGGCTATGTATGTCACCTATACTAACATTTTTTTTTCCTGTGCATGTATTTTATTTTATTTTTTTGGTCAATCCTAGGGCTTGAACTCAGGGCCTAGGGACTGTCCCTGAGCTTCTTTTGGTCAAGCACTCTACAATTGAGCCAAAGTGCCACTTCCACCTTTTTCTGTTTACGTGATACTGAGGAATCGAACCCAGGGCTTCATGTGTGCTAGGCAAAGCATTCTACCATTAAGCCACATTTCTAGCCCTGTGCATGTTTTTTTGTTTGTTTTTATGCCAGTCCTGGGGCTTGACCTGAGGGGCCTGGGCACTGTCCCTGAGTTTCTTTTTTGTTGCTGTTGTTGTCAGTCATGGGGCTTGAACTCTGGGCCTGGGCACGGTCCCTACGTGCTAGTGCTCTACCTCTTGAGCCACTTGGTTAACGGGAGATAAGAGTTTCACGGGGGCTGGGTAGGTGGCTTAGTGGTAGAGCGCTTGCCTTGCATGCATGAGGCCCTGGGTTCGATTCCTCAGTACCACATAAGCAAAAAGAAAAAAGCCAGAAGTGGCGCTGTGGCTCAAGTGGTAGAGCGCTAGCCTTGAGCTGAAGAGCTGAGGGACAGCGCCCAGGCCCAGAGTTCAGGCCCCACGACTGGACCCCCCCCCCCCAAAAAAAAAGTAAAAGTAAAAGAGTTTCACAGACTTTCCTGCCCAGGCTGGCTTTGAACCATGATCCTCAGATCTCAGCCTCCTGAGAGGCTAGGATTATATAGGCGTGAGCCACCAGTGCCCGGCTCTCCCTGAGTTTCTTTAGCTCAAGGCTAGCACTCTACCACTTGAGCCACAGCACTACTTCCAGCTTTTTGTGTTCATATGGTACTGAGGAATTGAACCCAGGACACTTCATGAACACAAGGCAAGCACTCTACCATTAAACCATATTCCTAGCCCTGCATGTATTCTTAAACATTTAAAAACAGCTGGGGTACATATGACTTTTGACATAAGACTAAAACACAGTTCTGGAAATTACTTTGCTAATGATTTCCTCCTTCAGTTTTTTTTTTTTGGGGGGGTCCAGTTGTGGACCTGAACTCTGGGCCTGGGCGCTGTCCCTCAGCTCTTCAGCTCAAGGCTAGCACTCTACCACTTGAGCCACAGCACCACTTCTGGCTTTTTTCTTTTTGCTTATGTGGTGTTTAGGAATCGAACCCAGGGCCTCAGGCATGCAAGGCAAGTGCTCTACCACTGAGCCACCTTCCCAGCCCCTCCTTCAGTTTTTCTATTCTATCTCTGGAACGCCTTTGAATTAAATCTCCTTGACGCTCTTCAATCTTTATTATTTTGGTTGGTTGTGAGGCTTGAACTCTGGGTCTGGGCGCTGTCCCTCAGCTCTTCAGTTCAAGGCTAGCACTCTACCACTTGAGCCATAGTGCCACTTCCAGTTTTCTGGTGATTTACTGGAGATAAAGACTTTCATGAGCTTGGCTGCCCAGGTTGGCTTTGAACAGCGATTTTCAGATATCAGCCTCCTGAGTAGCTAGGATTATGGGAATGAGCCACCAGCGCCTGACTCTTCAATCTTCTTATACTAATTTCTCCTATTTTTAATCTATCTCTTTTTGGAAGACTTTTTTTTTTTTGGTCAGTTGTGGGGCTTGAACTCTGGGCTTGGGGGCTGTCCCTGCGTTCTTCAACTCAAGGCAAGCGCTCTACAGCTTGAGCCACAGTGCCTCTTCCGGTTTTTGAGTGGTTTATTGGAGATAAGTGTCTCAAGGACTTTCCTGCCTCAACTGGCTTTGAACTGCTATCCTCAGATCTCAGCCTCCTGAGTAGCTAGGATTACAGGCGTGAGCCACCGGTGCCTAGCCGCCTAGCTGACTTCTTCAACGTTCTATTCTAACCTAATTGAGGCTTTTTTTCAGTTCCTCTGAATGATAAGAACTTTCAGAGAATCACTTGTTGTTGTAACAGCCCAGCCTATCAAGCTATGTTTCCACCCACGAAGAGTTCACCGTACTCAACTGGATTTCACTCAAGACTTTAAAATAGTCCAAAAAGAAAAAAGAAAAAAGATCCACAAAAGGGTCCTCATACTAAACAGAGAAGAAAAATTTTAAACCAGTCCAAATGAAATCAGAAATAATTTTCCAAGACCACAATTACTCCAGGAAGAAAAAAGGAAATTCCAACTTCTTGGATACCCACTCAGAAACAAGTGACTCACAACAACAAATACTCTCAGGTTATCATATACTAAAGCACACAGTATGATGGAATGAGCTAGATATGCAGTCCTCTAGACCTCTATCCCCCAAATACTGATATGCTTCAGGACTCTTTAACATTCACAGGCTTGACACCCAACACATTTCTACCTTGCTGATATTTTTGTAGTCTATTATACGTGGATCAAGGTTATAGGGCTAGGTTAACTCAATGATTAGAAATCATATAGATGTTTCTTAGTCACTGACATGAAGCAATTATTTCACTAAGTGACTCTTACCCCAGTCAACCTGGGCAAAAATCAGTGCATAGTCAGCTACGCATACTCAGCAGTTCACCCTTGCTATTATGTGTCCATTCAAAAGGAGCCCAAGTTTTCAAAGCAAGCCAGCATTCTACCAAGTCAGGCTGGGGAGGCCAGGAAAAGGAAATAAAGGCAGTAAGTACCTGCACTGATCCCCCATGGCGGTCTGCAGCCAAGTGAGACGTCAGGTATGAGGTATTGGTCTGCCGGCTGGGCTGGATTTCCCACTCTCCTCGGCGCTCTGACGATGCAGTCTGCTCAGGCATTAGGAAGCATAAGAGCAAGATATGGAAGGAAAGGTGAAGCAACAGCAAGCAGTAACAAAATCAAGTACATTAGTGCCCCTGTAGAGTTTTGGTTTTTGTTTTAGGTCTTAAACTAACAACTGCTGCAAAGCACTGAGAGAAAGTTAGTGTGGCTACATTCACTTCAGCCTCATGAGCCAAATACTCAAGTCTACACCACATCATCCTCATCCAGATACACAAGAAGTTTTGCCCAAAGGGGAGGGGCAGCCAACCGAAAGCTGGAATCACCTTTTAGCTTCCATACTGGTTAAAATCCCAGGAGTCACTAAGCAGATCATACTTAGAATTTTAAGATTCTTAAAGACAGGGCTAGGATTGTGGCTTAGTGGTAGAGTGCTTGCCTAGCATACATGAAGCCCTGGGTTCAATTCCTCAGTACCACATAAACAGAAAAAGACCCAAGTGGTGCTGTGGCTCAAGTGGTAGAGTGCTAACCTTGAGCAGAAAAAAAAGAAGTTCAGGGACAGTGCCCAGGCCCTAAGTTCAAGCCCCAGGACTGGCAAAAACAAAACAAAACCTTAAAACAGTCATTTCACTGACCAAAAATCTATCTGTCTAGACAGCAGTCAGTGGAGAAAATTCCTGCATTTAGCATAAAATAATGTGTTTTCCTTAACTAGGGAGGCTACTACTCTCAAGATTAACCTCCATGAGACTTTCTACTGAGATAAAATCAGCAGTGGCTGAAATATGTTTTCTTATGGAAAATGAACAAATTATCTTTTCAAAAGCAGGTTCATTTGTCAAGAATAAGGAAAGATGGGGAATAAAAATAAGGCTTGGGGCTGGGAGGGTGGCTCAGTGAGAAAGTGCTTTCCTTGTATGTATGAGGCCCTGGGTTTGACTCCTCAGCACGACATAAGCAGAAAAAGCTGGAAGTGGTGCTGTGGCTCAAGTAGTAGAATGCTCGCCTTGAGCTGAAGAACTGAGGGACAGTGCCCACACCCAGAGTTCAGGCCACATGAATGACAAAAAAAAAAAAGGTTTGTTTTCTTGTTTTTCTAACTCATAACCTCTAATTTGGAATGAAAAAGAGTTTCCTAATTGACATGACCACTATGAATTATCTTGTAGAAAGCAAAAGGAAAATCTTTTCTCAGTAAAAAGACATTGCGTCCACCTTTGCTGCCACTCAGGCTCTCTTCATTCCTTCTTTACCTGTTTTTTAGATCTCATACTATTCTGATCTTGCTCATATGTGACTTTTGTTCTGAAGAATCTGTATTAGGTGCCTCTTCCCCTGGCTGAGGAGGTGTTAGCATCATGATGCTCAGCTGTTACAGTCCTAAGGCTCTACAAAAATGAAAAATGAGTAGTTGGAGAGGCAGCAGTGAGGGATTAGTAAATCAGATTTTAATTGCTGCTAGTATTAGAAATAGCAGCAGGGGATAGGATGGAGATTGCTGCTCTGCATGAAAACCAGTAAGAAGCCTATAAATCTTAGATATTTTCATAACCATTAATGTTGTGCTCTATAAAAAAAAGAAAAGGAAGAAAGGATGTAGTGGTCTGAGGCTCTATATTCACTATCTATCTCCAGGACTTGACAGACAAGAGTTGTTTAAAGCTCACCTTTAAGTCACCTCAAAGGTATTTCCCATAAACCATGTGTAACTTGTTCATTATTAATGGAATATGAAGTCACATAGGTGACAGCATTGTAAAGGATCCTGCTCAGGGAATCAGTAGATTATATAAGAAAGTAGCTGTATTAACTTGCTGGCTTTGTACTGATAGTCTAACATTAATGTCAGAACACTCCAGTGTCTCCTCTGCAATCTCCCTGTGTTCCCCTCCACCCCCACACTTTAAGTCTTATTAAATTGCTCAGGCTGACTCCTAACTTGAAATCCTCATATCTCAGCCTCCTCGCAAGGATTACAGATGTGCACTACCATGCTGATTGATAGACATTCATTCAGATGTTTAATTTTCCAAAATAAGGTGGCAATGTATATCATATTCACACTATTTTATAAACTTACTGAAATAATGTGTTATGTCCACAGAACTCTTAATCTCATTTATTCAGATGACTAGGGAACTGAGACTAAATCTGCTTTTAATATTAGAATTAAAATCTAAAGATATTACTCAGAAAACTAGAATCTATAAGTGATAAGTCTCTTCAGTTCCATTTAAGACTTCATATTTTTGTAATATTTCAAAAGAATTTTAAGCTCCTGAATTATTATATAATTCTGTCAGTTGTCAAAAAAATTAAATACTTAAAAAACACCTAGACAGGGGATGGAAGTATGGTTCAAGTGGTAGAGTGCCAGCCAATGAGCAAACGTCCTGAGAAATACTGAGTTTGAGCCAAGCACTGGTGGCTCATGCCAGGAGGCTGAGATCTGAGGATCACTGTTCAAAGCCAGCTCGGGCAGGAAAGTCCCTGAGACTTATCTCCAATAAAACCACTAGAAAACCGAAGTGGCACTGTGGCTCAAGTGTAGAGCGCTAGCCTGAAGAGCTGAGGGACAGCACCCAGGCCCAGAGTTCAAGGCCCACGACCAACAAAAAATAAATAAAATTAAATAACTGAGTTTGAGTCCCAGTCTTGAACAAAGCATCCAGATGTTTATTTATAAGCTATTTAGTGTTCTCTAAGAGTTCTATGATACAAGTAACTCAACTGATTCTCTCATGAATACTGTTTATACATTGGTTTTTCAGGTAGATAAAATTGGAAAAGGTTGGGGATATATAGTTTAATGGTAGAGTGCTTGTCTAGCTTGTATAAGCCCTGGGTTTAATTCCCAGAACAGAGAGAGAGAGAGAGAGAGAGAGAGAGAGAGAGAGAGAGAGAGAGAGTGTGTGTGTGATCAAATCCAGAGTTTCACGCCTTGTGTGTGTGTGTGTGTGTGTGTGTGTGTGTGCGTGTGCGTGCTGAAAACATAAAAACACATACACTAATTTGTGTGTATGTGTGTTGGTGGGGAAAACAAGCTCTCTCTGCAAGCTAAGCAGGTATTCTACCACTGATTATACCACTAACCTTCTTATGCCCTACAGGCAGGTACCAGTGACTCACTAGCTACTTGAAGAGAGACCTGGTGGACTTTGGTTCAGAAGAAAAAAGGCAGAAAAGGTTTTTTTTTTTGTCGCTTGCGGGGCTTGAACTCTAGGCTTGGGCGCTGTCCCTGGGCTCTTCAGCTCAAGGCCAGTACTCTACCGCCTGAGCCACAGCGCCACTTCCAGTTTTCTAGTGGTTTATTAGAGATAAGAGTCTCACAGATATTTCTGCCTGGGCTGGCTTTGAACCTCGATCCTCAGATCTCAGCCTCCTGAATAGCTAGGATTACAGACGTGAGCCACTGGCGCCCATAGAAAAGTTTTTGAGAAACCAGTTAACTAGCAAAATGTTGGACTGGAGGCTGGTTCAAAGGGAGGAGTTCTAGCCATGAAAAATCAAGCTGAGGGCCTAAGAGGCCCTAAGTTCAAGCCTCACAGTACCAACTCTCCAAAAGGCAGAGAGATGATCAATTATTAATAATTATATAGGGGCTGGGAAAGTGGCTCAGTGGTAGAGCGCTTGCCTTGCATGCATGAGGCCCTGGGTTCGATTCCTCAGCACCACATAAGCAAAAAGAAAAAAAGCCGGAAGTGGCGCTGTGGCTCAGGTGGTAAAGCACTAGCCTTGAGCTGAAGAGCTGAGGGACAGCGCCCAGGCCCAGAGTTCAGGTCCCACGACCGGACCCAAAAAAAAAAACAAAAAAGAAAAGAAATAATTATATATTAATAGTATTTCCATTCTTACTGAAATAAACATAAGTAGAGCTTGTTTATATAAACTTCTGTTAACTTGTTGGAAGAATTAAGATTTTTATTTTAATGAAAATAGTGAATCCTTTTTCTTTTTACTTTTGGTGGTGCTGAGGCTTGAACTCAAGGCCTCACACTTGCTACACAGGTGCTCTGCTGCCCAAGCATGCCATCCATGCATGCATTCACACTTAAGCTGCTGTTTCAGTTTCTTCTTGGGCTATTTTGGGGATAGGGTTTTGTTGTATTTACAAGCTGGTCTGGACTGCAATCCTATTTTGTGCTTCCCTTTGTTGCTAGAATGACAGGTGGGTACCAATATTCCCAGCCATGTGCTTCCCCAGTGGCTTGGGAGAACAGGTATATACCACTACATCTAGTTACTGAGATGATTTCTCATGAATTTTTATGCTGGGCTGGTTTCAAACTTAGCTTCTTATCTAGCTAGGATCATAGGATTGAGCCACTTGTGTACAGCTTGGGACTGGCTATTCTTTAGAGAGGGTTTCATTTCCACTGAGATGAATGTTTGGACTTCAATGTGTCTATTTACACTTCTAGGATGACAGGCATGTACTACTGTATGGAGCTACTGGTTGAGAAGGGGATTCATGAACTTTCTCCACCCCTCCCCCCAACCTTGATCTGTGATCCTCACTAACTCAGCCTCCCAAGTAGCTGGGATTACTAGCACGAGGCAACAGAACCCAACAACAGCAAGCTATTTTCAACCTTTTTTTTTTTGAGCTGTTATTGAGGTTTGAACTCAGAGCCTTGTACTCTTTGGCCTTTCTTGCTCAAGGTTAGTGCTCTAAGGGCTGGGAAGGTGGCTCAGTGGTAGAGTGCTTGCTTTGCATGCATGAGGCCTTCGGTTCGATTTCTCAGCACCACATAAGCAGAAAAAGCTGGAAGTGGGGCTGAGGCTCAAGTGGTAGAGCGCTAGTCTATAGCTGAAGAGCTGAGGGACAGCGCCCAGGCCCAGAGTTCAGGTCCCATATGACAAAAAAAAAAAAAAAAGTTAGTGCTCTACAGAAATTGAACCAGAGTTCCACTTCCAGCTTTTTGATGGTTAATTGGAGATAAGAGTCTCAAGGAGCCGGGTGCCGGTGGCTTAGGCCTGTAATCCTACTCAGGAGGCTGAGATCTGAGGATCATGGTTCAAAGCCAGCCCGGACAGGAAAGTCCGTGAGACTCATCTCCAATAAACCACCAGAAAAAAAAAAAAGAAGTGGGTGGCACTGTGACTCAAGCGGTAGAGTGCTAGCCTTGAGCTGAAGAGCTGAGGGGCAGTGCCCAGACCCAGAGTTCAAGCCCCATAACCGACAAAAAAAAAAACCAAAAAAAACGTCTCAAGGACTTTCCTGTGGCTAGCTTTGAATTTCAATCCTCAGCTCACAGCTTCCTAAGTAGCTAAGGATTATAGGTATGAGCCAATATAGCGTGGCTCTCCTTCAATCTTAATACACACGTGGTTTGAAAGTCTTTTTTTTTTTTTTTGTCTGAGATTGGAAGTGGAACTCCATAACTGACAATTTACTGGCCGGTGCTCTTACCACCAGAGCCACTCCTCCAACACCTGAATTCTTTTTTTGGTACATTTTTTTATCGTAAAAATGCTGTACAGAGGGGTTACAGTTACATGAGTAAGGTAATGAGTACATTTCCTATAGAGTATTGTTGCCTCCTCCCTTGTTTTCCCTGAATTCTTTTTAATCTCCAAGACCATTGCCTGGCTACTACCACTTTCTGCACATAAAAGAATTACTTAAAAATCTTTAGACCTGCTGGGCACCAGTGGCTCATGCCTGTAATCTTAGCTACTCAGGAGGCTAAGATCTGAGGATCCCAGCTCAAAGCCAGCCCATGAGATTCTTATCTTCAATAAGCCAGAAAACCAGAAGTGGAGCTGTGGCTCAAGTGGTAGAGCACTTGCCTTGAGCTGAATTGCTCAGGGACAGGGGTTAGGCCCAGAGTTCAAGCCCATGACCCCCCTTCCCTCCCTGCACAAAAAATCTTTTTTTTTGTTTTTTTTTTGGTCCGGTCGTGGGGCCTGAACTCCGGGCCTGGGCGCCTGTCCCTCAGCTCTTCAGCTCAAGGCTAGCGCTCTACCACTTGAGCCACAGCGCCACTTCCGGCTTTTTTCCCCTGCATATGTGGTGCTGAGGAATCGAACCCAGGGCCTCATGCATGCAAGGCAAGCGCTCTACCACTGAGCCACCTTCCCAGCCCACACAAAATCTTTAGATCTTATATTCCTTCTGAAATTAAGAACCAATTGTCCACCCCAATATTACAGGAGCTTCATCAAACAGTCCTAACCACTTTCCTATAGCCTAGGATTCCTTTATTCACATCAACTATTTTAGCTAAATCAAACTAGATATATTTGCTACTGTTCATGTATTCTATCTGGTTGGAATGCCTTGGCTATCACCAATTAATTCTTCTGAGATAATTTCATACAACTTCTGTCATGAAATAGTCTGTCATGCTCTGACTACAATACTCACAATGCTTTTTCTATTGTTTTGTGTTATACTTAACTAGCTTCCTGGCTTATCCACTTGTCAGCTCTTTGAAGACAAGGACTCTTATCTTGTTATCTACAGGACACTTTCACCAGAGCAGGTTCTCAAGCTCAAATAGGGATAACTATGTACCTTTGGCAAACTGTATGGCTTGGTGGGAAAAAAAACAATAACAACAACAAAAAACTATACATTAAAGAGGACACTTGGCTCAAGATCTTTCCCAGCAGAACTCTGCATTCTTGGTAAATGGAATTCTAGCATCTGTTTTTTTTTTCCCCTCTTTTTGTGCCAGGCCTGTGGTTTGAAATCAGTGTCTGGGTGTGTCCCTGAGCTTCTTTTGCTCAAGGCTAATGTTGTTGCGTCTCAACTTCACTTCTGGTTTTTCGTGGTTAGTTGGAGGTAAGAGTAACATGGGCTTTCTTGCCCAGGCTTGCTTCAAATTGCAATCCCAGCTTCCTGAGTAGCTAGGATCACAGGTGTGAACCACCAGTACCCGGCTTCCCCACCTCTTCTCCCTCCCCTCCTTCCCCTTTTGATGCTGGTACAAGGGCTTAAACTCAGGGGCTTTTCTGTTCACAACTGGCATTCTACCACTTAAGCCATGCCACTAGTCCAGCACTTTAGGGGGATCAGTCGTAGGGCCTTAACTCAGGGTCTGGGCACTGTTTCTAAGCTCTTTCATTCAAGGCTAGTGCTCTACTACTTTAAGCCACAGCTCCACTTCTAGTTTTCTGGTAGTTAACTGGAAGAAGAGTATCACAGACTTCCCTGCTTGGGCTAGCTTTGAACTGCAATCCTCATATCTCAACCTCCTGAGTAGGTAGGACTACAGGAGTGAGCTACCGGTGCCTGGCTTTAGTCTGACATTTTTGTTCATTGAGAATTGGGAAGTCTCATGTCCTTGCTGGGTGTTAGCCTCCAGAGTAGCTAGAATTACAGAAGTGAGTCAATGGTGCCAAATAAATGTGTGCATTTCTGTTATTCTTCACCTATATACTTGAGCCTGTGCATCTATGAGATGTATTTTTAAATATTTTCTTGTAAAATGTCTGTTCATATGAAAAGAATGGGGTCAAGAGGAAGGGTAGCAAGCTAATTTGTTGTGTGTTAACAGTTATTATATAATCTATAATTTTCTTCATTTATCTATTGATGCTTAGGTTTTTGCTTATTGATTTAGATTACATAAATTTAAAAATTCAGAACTAAAGAACAAATGGCAGAACACCAGCTGTGAGCAAAAGAAAAAAAAAAAAAAAAAAGAAAAACCAAGTGAGAATGCAAGGCCTGAGTTCAAGTCCTAGTACTGGACACATGTGCGCGCAAGTGCGCAAATACACACACACACAAATACAGAGTTAAAAACTCTTTGTTATATTACTTCACAGACACTTAGCCCTTTTTCCCCTTATTTTTCTTTTTTGCAGTGCTGAGAACTACACTCAGCACCTCAAGCATGATAGGCAAGCAAGTGCTCCAACACTGAACTACACCCTTTAGCCCTTTCTAAAAATGTTCTAGATCCCTAGTTGTTCCAAACAACTAGTACTGAAGGACAGATAACACGGTCTTTTCTGATCATGTCTGTCATGATACCTGCCACCTCTAGAATTAATCTGGGAACAGTGGCAACAAGTGGTGTGAAGATTCCAGTTTATACCGAGGTCAGCTGGAAATTCAAATTATCTTCCCCCTCCCCTCTCTTAATCAGTTAGAACAGAGCAGAATTGGCATAAGCTTCAGACTGAATTGCAGATGAAACCAAGTGGACTAGCTGGTATATCGGGCCAGTAACAGACTGCCTCACATCCTGAAACACAACCAGTTCCTTTCAATCAGCATACTCTGTCAGGCCTGGAGTCCTTAAATTATATGCCTCATAAAAGGTACCTTTTCCCCTATCTCAATCTAACTACATAGGCCCCGAAGGTTACTAGAATGTTACATTAAACCTGTGAGAAATGGCAATCTTTTTCTTCTTTAACTCCAGAATAGACAATAATAGTGAGGAGATGGACAAGTTAGGTTTTAATATTAGCTATGAAGAATGGGCTTGGCTGAAATAATGAAGAACCAACATATACCTGATTTCGAAGAGGCTGTTGCTGTGATGGCCGATCCCTGTGTGTGTGGCTTTCTCGAGTTATTGCAGATGCACCAGAATCTACATGAACTGACCCTACTGGAGTAGGCTGAAAAGATAACAGTCAAATAGGAAAAACAAGTCCAACCTGCTGTCTCTGTAAGGGACAGTATCATTCTAAGCCTCACAGGATATTAGTAATATTTTTCAGCTATTCACCTGTTTCAGTATCTGCTACATAGAGGTCCTGTGGGGCACTGGGAAGAACTATGAATTCAAGTATCCTAGGGAGCTGGGTTCTACTTCTAGAGAAGGCAAGTACCTTCATAGTACTAACTTGTGAATTGTTCAAATAGAACTGACAACCTTCCCCACCACCCCCAATCTAAAACAAAAAACAACAACAACAACAAAAAACAAATGGAACCAAACTAAATTGGCTTAAGCACTTGGGAGATAAAACAGAAGTTTGAAGCTAGTATGAGCTAACACAGTGAGCCCTTGTTTCTTTACAATTCTACTGAGTGTGGTGGCTCATGCTTGTAATCCTAGCCATTTAGGGGTTGAAGATTGGGAGGAATGTAGTTTGAAGTTTGAGACTACAAATGTAAGACCTATTGGGTACGGAGGAACAAAAGAGGCGAGGAATGTGGCTTAAGTGGGAAGAGTACAAGTACAGATCCTAAGTTCAAACCCCAGTTTGACAAAAAAAAACAAAAAACTAACTCCTAATTCCAAAATCTTATGAAAGCAACTTATGTCAACAACTTGAAAAGACTGACAAATGTAAAGTCTACACTCAAGGCAATTTCTCTCCCTAATACTAAAAGCAGAAAGATGGGCAAGAGAGGCAGTGCTGGTCTGAGAAAGGAAGTTATGGGGTAAAAAGACACTTACAATAGGTCTCCCGACCCAATCGTAGGCATAGTCAAAGGTGTAGCCTTTTCTTTCAAAAAGGTCTGTGAAGAGGGTCCGTAAATACTCATAATCAGGTTTTTCAAAGAAGTCTAATCGCCTAACATACCGAAGGTAGGTTGCCATCTCCTCTGTAAGGAAAGAATTTTGAAAAGGTTATGCTCTTAGCTAAATGCTTCCCATGGAGGTAAGGTATGGCTCACAGGGATATTTGCAGAAACTGCATGAAATCAGTAACTTCTTTTTGGACCACATAAAAGTGATACAATTACCTTGGTTTGATTAAGAATAAAAGCAAATATAAATTATGTGGAAAGCATTCTACTGCAGTAGTGGACTTGGTCTACTTTGAAGCTTCAATCACACTTGAGTATCCTTTTAGCATCCTACCTGGAAAGTTCTCACAGAGTGCTTCAATGGGAGTATTCCTTTTGGTGTCACCGATTTTTTGATATCTCTCTTTTAATGTATCGGCCTGTGGAAAGTAAAGAAAGGAAGTTACTCAGAAGGAGGTACTAGGTATGGGAGGTTCAATTTTTTCAGACATAATGGTTGTTTTATTCAAATCAGCAAGATGTGTTTTAGTCAATCTCAGATTTTTTTTCTAACACTAACAAATAAGTATATATAGAGATAGTGCAAACATTGGATATGTGCAAACATTTGCTGGGTTCTAGAAAGTGACTTGGAAATTTGTCTTGTGTTTTCAGATAAATGCCATTAAGTATGAGATTAAGTTTAGCTAGGACAAGGAAACAGAAATATGTCACATTATTTTCAAAGCTGAAGAAGCTCAGTAAATATAGCTGTCCTAATCTAAAAAGCACTGTCTAACACAAGTGAGCAAAACAAATGCAGTTTCACTATATACATACTGAAAAAAAAGACCAGAAGTGAAAAAAAAAGACTCTTCAATAACGTGAATCCAAAAGAGAAATAATTATTTGTGGAATAGTTGTGGCTAATGGCAAGTGTGGTATGTCAGGACCTTGAAGAGGCTGAAATATATAGTACGCTTTGGGACACTACACAGAGCATATGGTCTATGGACCAACAGTGGTCTCTTGAGGAATATTCATCTAGCCTGGTTCATCTAGAATTAAGCAATAACAGTTGCTAAAGAAAGTTGAAGAAGTGGAAGTGGCGCTGTAGCTCAAGTGGTAGAGCGCTCGCCTTGAGCTGAAGAGCTGAGGAACAACGCCCAGGCCCAGAGTTCAAGCCCCACGACCGACAAAAAAAAAAAAAACAACAAAAAAAAGAAAGTTGAAGACATTTAAAATCTATCACTGCCACTAAAATAATTCATGAACCATGAGAGAGTTTCAAGCAATTAGTAATACCAAACAATAATGTCTTTGTTTTGGCTACATGATGAGCAAATATTTAAAGCTGTTGGGCCCAGGATGTAGCTCAAGTAGTGCAAGCAAGAGGCACTGGGTTCAATCTGAAGGAAAAGAGAAAGGAAGGAAAAGGAGGAGGAAGGTAGGTCACTCAAAAAAATTCTGGGGGCTGAGAAGGTGTTAGAGTGCTTGCCTTACATGCATGAAGCCCTGGGTTTGATTCCTCTGGACCACATAAGCAGAAAAAGCTGCAAGTGGCGCTGTGGCTCAAGTGATAGAGTGCTAGCCTTGAGCTGAAGACTGAGGGACAGTGTGCAGGCCTAGAGTTCAGACCCCATGACGGACAAAGAAAAAAAAATTCTGTCACTATCAATGAGAAGATGCATATGAATATGACTAGAAGACATTGGGATGAGATATAAGGAGAGGAACTTGAGGGCAAGGAAATAAAATCTTATTGAAGAGAATGAGGAGCTGAGATTGTGGCTCAGTGGTGGAGCACTTGCCTAGCATGTGTCAAACACTGGATTTGATGCCTATCACTCAAATAGTAAAGAGGGGTGGAGGGTGAGGATATAGAAACCTTACTTTCTAAGACAATGTCCTAGAAAGCACAGCAAAAGCAATGAATCATTTTACCCTCTGGAGAGAGAGGGTGTAGGAGTTCCCCAAGCTACGGATTCTTTCTACACTAATATATTGGGAAAAAAAAAAAAAAAGACTTAAGATGGTTAGAAGCTCACCATTTCCTAGTTAAGAGACACAGCAATTATACTGTTTATGGTTATGTTAACTGTGAAACATACGGAAGTGGTGCTGTGGCTCAAGTGGTAGAGCGCTAGCCTTGAGCTGAAGAGCTGAGGGACAGCGCCCAGGCCCAGAGTTCAAGCCCCACAACCAGACCCAAAAAACAAAAAACAAAAAACTGTGAAACATAAGCACTGTTTTGATACCTCTCCAATATATCTTACAAGTAATAGCTAGTGTCTAACATGGTACATTTATTTAATGATGCATTTGAACAGCAATGTTAAATCTGGACTTTCATTTTAGTCAGGTGGGTGCACAGCCTTCACAGGATGAACAAATAGTTTCCATTTCCCCTTAGAAGCATACACTGCTAGCTTTTCTGGTAAAATGTGTAGCAGCTGCTGTCATCTACTTGTTCCAGAAATTCCCTGACATTCTGGGAACTACCATTAGGTAGCAGGAGGAGGGATAGCAACGCACAGAGAAAGCAGCACTGCCAAGGCTGTGAGACAATGAGAGGAAAGATTATGAAAAACCTAAACACAAAGAGGAGAGGATTAAGAGTGTGAAGAAGACAAGTGTGAACAGCACAGAGCTCTCAAAGCCCAGGTGGGCATTTCCAAGGTAGGCTAATGTAACCAGTCTGTTTCTCATCCCTGCAGACAACCTCCCCCTTTGTGTTTCTCTGAGACACCAAGCCAACAGCCCCTGCAGTTACAACTGAGCACTTTCAAGGATACCTTGAGTCCTTGCCAGGGTAGGCTGCCTCGGAGGAAATACATGAACATATGGCCTAGGGCTTCCAAATCATCACGCCGGCTTTGCTCTAAGAGGGAAGACAGATCACACGTTATGTTGGCAGTTATTAAAGCAGAAGGAGGTTCAAAACCAAGTAATCCCTTCAGAAACCCTTCTGCTCTGGAAAGGCTCTGCTGACTAATTCTCTGAATATCTAAATCAGGAGTGGTACTTTATATCAAAACCAAAAACAAATGTAGACTTCCTTTTGTCAGTTGCTGGCAGATAAATAGCAAGTACAAGAAAAAAGCCTAAATTAAAGCCAACCTCTAGTCACTAAACAGTGAGTAAACCATTCCTCGATGTTATCACCTGCCCAGAAAGTGAGATAACAAAAATGAAATGCTATTTCCAGTATATAGGCTACAATTACCCTCTCTCTCTGGTTACTCACAGGGAAAGGAAGCAGCAGATTAAGCAGCTGAAGCTATTAAAATAGTCCACTCTGGCAAGGCCTGCAAAGACACAAGCCATAGAAATGCCTGGTGGACATGCTCAGCAATTTTTTTTTTTTTTTGGGTCCGGTCGTGGGGCCTGAACTCTGGGCCTGGGCGGACATCCCTCAGCTCTTCAACTCAAGGCTAGCGCTCTACCACTTGAGCCACAGCACCACTTCCAGCTTTTTTTTTTTCTTTTTGCTTATGTGGTGCTGAAGAATTGAACCCAGGGCCTCATGCATGCAAGGCAAGCTCTCTACCACTGAGCCAACTTCCCAGCCCCATCAGCAAATTTATATCCATCATACAAGTGTATACTTTAAAACTCAGTTTCATTAAAGAAAACACCAGTGCATCCTCTCTTAGTTCATATCTGTGTTGTGGAGACATAAAACAATTTGGGAATTCTTGGAAATTAAAACAACTTGAGTGAGGATGATGGCAGAATATTTAAGACATTTTTGCAATTTCATTTCAGAAAATACCTTAAACATTCTTTTGATGTCAGACTGAATATTAGTATATGCCTTTATTTCTGATTTGCTAATTATGATTCATGGTATATGTTTTATGTGTTCATTTTTCAAAATCATGTTTAGGGTTTTAGCAAAAGAAATTATAAAAGCAAAGCTAAGAAGCTACCTCCAACTGTATTTTTATTTCTGAGACAGGGTTTTGGTTTATAGCCCAGAATGGCCTCCAACCTTCTGCTTCCTCTTCCCAAGCACTAGGTTTATAGGCATACACCATTACCCTGGCCAGGTACTACCTTCATCTTGATGTGGGGTTCCCCCAGCTGTGCAGAAAGCAAAATCCAAGACTGTCATATAGGAGGAAAAGCTACCAAACTAAACTCAAAATAAAGAAGCACAATATGTTTAATTGCTTCATGAAATTATAGGAAATTTGTATAAGAAAGAATGAATAAACTCCATAGGTTAGATGAAGAAAGAAAACTTTCATAATGGAAAGAGGTCCCTATGACTAGGTATGTAGCTCAGGGTAGAGGGCCTGCTTAGCCTGCACAGGACTCTGAGTTTGATCTCCAACACACAAAAAGGGGGGAAGAAAAGGAAAGCAGGCACCCCCATAGAAAATAAAAATAAAAACAAGCTAACAAAAAAAAAAAAAATGAAGATGTGAATGTGGCTTAGTAGTAGAGTGCTTGCCTCGCATGCTGAAGCCCTGGGTTTGATTCCTTAGTACCATATACACAGAAAAAGCCAGAAGTGGCGCTGTGGCTCAAGTGGTAGAGCACTAGTCTTGAGCAAAAGGAGGCTCAGGGACAGTGCTCAGGCCTAGAGTTCAAGCCCTGGGACTGGAAAAAAGATAAAAAGTAGTTTACACGCACACACACACAAACTAAACATCAGACCTGGTCTACATGGCTTGTATGATTTTTGCAATAAAATATATATAATTGAAAAGCTAAGCACTGGTGGTTCATGCCTGTAATCCTAGCTACTCAGAAAGCTGAGATCTGTGAATTGTGGTTCAAAGCCAGACCAGGCAGGAAAGTCCGTGAGACTCTTCGATTAGTCCCCAGAAAACCAGAAGTGACACTGTGACGCAAAGTGTAGATCAGGGACTGTGCCCAGCCAGGTCTCAAGTTCAAACCTCACAACTAACCAAAAAAAAAAAAAAAAGTGTGTTTAAATGAAAACAAACCTAATTAGATGCAAACTGTTAAAAGAACATAAACAGAATTGAAAAGCAGTATGTGTGAGTTTCTAATACCTTGTACAAATAAAGCAACACAGAAACTGTAGCAAATTCTCAGACTGAATCATTCCTTATCATCTCTCCATTTTTATATCTACTTCCTGTGACAAGAGGTCCTTGGATAATAAAATATTCACTAAACAAATGGCTGAATTTTAGCTGAGCACTAGAGGGCGAACTATCTACATCTTCAGAATTAACAAGGCTCCATAGGGAAAATTTCATAGCAGAGTCAATTATAAAATGAATTTTTAAAAATTCAAATTAAGTAGAATAATACAGCAAATTTAAAATCCTGAGAACCATAAATAAATAGCTATAGAAAACTGAATAACATGAAAAACAACAGTTACTAAATCAGATCAATGATCTTGGTTTTGGCTCATCCTTTCCATTAATTTAACTCAATGAAATGAAGTCATTAATTAAGTCATCAATTTTGGGCCTCAATTTCCTCATCTAAAATAGTCTAAAATTCTAAAATAATTGATGCCAAACAAGTAGGACATTAAAAAAAGGAGTGAAAAATAGGAACATACTTTTTACACTTTGGGGGTTTTTTGGGTGCCAGTCCTGGGGGCTTGAACTCAAGGCCTGAGGATACTATGGCTGAGCTACATTGCTCAGGTCTAGCTTACTACCACTGGAGTCACATCTTTACTTTTTTTTTTTTTTTTTTTGGTGGTTAATTGGAGATAAGAGTCTTAATGGACTTTCGTGACTAGACTGGCTTTAACCCATGATCCTTAGATCCCAACCTCCTGCTGCAGCTAGGATTACAGGTGTGAGAACCAGTGGAGCATGGCTCTCAACACTTTTTCTTATTCAATATTTTCACTTGCCCTCTTCACTTGTTCTGGGAAGTCATTTTCATTTGCAAAAAAAAAAAAAAAGGGTTCTTCACATCATCCTTTATGATCAGAAAGATATGCTTGATTTATCCTTAATTTTAATACGATTTTAGATTAAATGTATTTTGTTCAAAGAAAGACATGATTGCAACCCATTATTTCTTACCCTAATTTTAACTACAACATCCCTCAAATTAGGCTGTCTCAATCAGGGCTTAGACAGCAGAGAAGGTAGTTTATCTAATTTGGGAATGTCAGAGTGGGAAGCTTTTTCCCATGTCCTGCTCCATTATAAAAGAGCAGTTCTCTCCAAGTCATTGGACAATACATCTCTCCATGTTTTTTCCTTCTCATTATATATAAAAGATGCAACATATTTAGAAATCAATAGCATTAGAGCTCCTATGGGGTTTGATACCTGAGACAGAATTTAAAGGTAGCAATACTTATTCCCAGCATTGTGGAGGAAACAAAGCATGGTGGTAGGTTGGATCAGACTTGAAAAACTGTATCTGAGGAAATCCAAGTCTGAGATAAATTTAAAGTTCTAGACAGCAGTAATGACAGCACAAGAAGAAATGAAGGACCCTACTCTGATACAGAGTAGGTGGCTTAGGACAGACTTTTTTGAATAATTAATAATAAGGATGATTACCATATGGAGTGGCCTTGCTATTATCAGGCACTAGGCTAAACACTTTTATATACATTATTCCACAAACCTTATGTTTATGCATATTAATCATTATACAGGATGTCTGTTAAAAGAACTATTTTCACATCCATTTTATAGATGAGATAACCAAAGCTGAGGGAAGACCTTTACAGGACCAAAATCACAACTATTGCCAGGTAGGATCTATATTTCTTTTTCTTAATCATTGAAGCATACCTTATATAAACTAAGGAGATAACAATCCTATATCTATTCTTGATCCTCCTGACAATAATAATAAAATCAGGATAGAAGCCCAGGAAGCATGGATTAGATCCATAACCTCTAGAGTTTGTCAGTTAAACACGTATGACTTTACCATAAGACTCAGTCTTTCTCCTATAAGCAGATACTTCTCCACTCGCCACCCCCCCACCAACCCCCCCCCCCCCGGGTCCCCTGTTGTGGGGCTTGAACTCTGGGTCTAGGCGCTGCCTCTCAGCTCTTCAGCTCAAGGCAAGCGCTCTACCACTTGAGCCACAGCGCCACTTCCTCAGATCTCAGCCTCCTAAGTAGCTAGGATTACAGGCGAGAGCAACCAGTGCCCCCAACTAACCAATTTGTTTTGGCATGAAAATGAGGACAACCTTCCAGTCTAATCACATTTAATAAAGAGGATTTCCACATGGTTGAAAACATTCTGACAGCATTCATTATTTCAACTGTTTTTTATCATACTATTTGTAATGTCTTTTTTTTTTTTCTTTTTACCATCATTAGAATCCTGACCTGAATACTTGCAAAATTTATTTGATGAGGCAACTTAGTAGACGCTATAGTGGCCTTCAAAATACTTACTAGTATGTAACAGCTTTGCATTATAAATCTTACATAACTAGCTCTGCAAAGAGTATAGAAACTGATAATATTCTCATTACACATAGTTTTTCTTTTCTTTTGTTGTTTTTTGTCAGTCATGGGGCTTGAACTCAGGGCCTGGGCACTGTCCCTCAGCTCTTCAGCTCAAGGCTAGTACTGTCCCACTTGAGCCACAGCGCCACTTCCGGCTTTTTTCTTTTTTTTTGCTTATGTGTGCTGGGGAATCGAACCCAGGGCCTCATGCATGCAAGGCAAGCGCTCTACCACTGAGCCACCTTCCCAGCCCCTGTTCTCAAACTCTTTTGCTCAAGCCTAGTACTCTACCACTTTAAGCCACAGTGTCACTTCTAGTTTTCTGGTGGTTACTTGGAGATAAGAGTCTCACAGGGCTGGGAATATGGCTTAGTGGTAGAGTGCTTGCCTAGCATGTATGATGCCCTGGGTTCAGCACCACATAAACAGAAAAAGCCAGAAGTGGCACTTTGGCTTAAGTGGTAGAGCACTAGCCTTGAGCAAAAAACGGCTGAGGGACAGTATCCAGGCCCTAAGTTCAAGCCTCAGGACTGGGAAAAAAAGTCTCACAGACTTTCCTGCCCAAGCAGGCTTGGAACTGCAATCCTAGAATCTCAGCCTCAAGAGGCTAGAATTACAAAAGTGAGTCACCAGTGTTTGGCTTAGTATCGATTTTTAAATATACTTTTTCAATTAGCTAGGAAACTTTTCTTCAAATAGACTCTTCCAAGAAAATCCAGTATGTAAAACAAATAAGAAAAGAAGGATTTTTTTTTTTTTTTGAGAACTGGAAAGAGGCCTAGGACTCTGCCTACTTGGCTTCCCTCCTGCTCATTAGGCTTCTCTCAGAAATACCCTTTCTTGAACTAGATCTTCTAACAAGGAAGATCGTCTGCCTTGATTAGATCGTCTAGTAATTTTTGTACAGTTTCCTTATACCCAATAAGATACAAATACCAAGGTAAAACAAATATATTTTTCATTGAGTAAGACAGGAGTTTCAAATGATTATGTATGTAATAATTCATGGTAAAAAGAAACCTACTAGCTGAGCACTGGTGGCTCTGGCCTGTAATCCTAGCTACTCAGGAGGATGAGATCTGAGGATCGCAGTTCAAAGTGAGACAGCTCAGCAAGACTGTAAGACTCTTATCTCCACTAAAGCACTCAGAAAATCGGAAGTGGTGCCCTGCCTCAAGTGGTAGAGTGCTAGCCCTGAGCTGAAGAGCTGAGGGATAGCATTTAGGCCCAGAGTTCAAGCCCCATGACTGACCAAAAAAAAAAAAAAAAAGACCTACTCAATGTTAGTGAAGCCTTCTTTCTCAAAACAGACACTAGCCTGGTGCCCTCTCTCTCAGGACTGTCATACATGAGGGCTTTACATATATAAGTACCTGACCTACAATTATACTCACTCAAATACTATTATTTGGTTACAATAATCCACAATCTCACAGTGCTGAGAAATGAGGTACCTAGAACCATATGTGAAGAATTAAGAATTCCTAAGTAATCAATAGGGTAACTGGTAAAATTATTAACTACCATTTCAACTTCTCAAATATAAAAATCACTTACCTTTGACTAGGAATGTAGTTCAGTGGAGTGCTTGTTGAGCATGCATAAGGCAAAAAATAAAAATAAAATTCACTTACCTTTTAAAGCAACAAATACCACAAGTTGTAATGCATGGGGATAAAAGTGTTATTGGAACAGAAAGCTGTTCAAATGACCTGCCCCGTTCATGGAGAAGAAAATAAACACACCTTTGCCAAGATGTGTGTTGATAGACATATATCTTGCAGTTCCAGTTAAACTTTTGTGCTCCCTATAAGGTATGTGTTTTTTGGTTTCAGGATCAATGTATTCCTTGGCCAGTCCAAAGTCTATAATATGTATAACATGTTCTTTCTTATTGCCTTGTCGGCCGATCAGGAAATTCTCTGGCTTGACATCTCGGTAAATGAGATTCTTTGAGTGTACATATTCCATTCGAGAAAGCTAAAAGAAAAAACGTGATAGAAATACTTTAAATAAGTATATTTTTAAAAATGTCCTTTCTTCCCTCTTTCCCTTCCTTCCTGCATAAGACTAGCCTAATTTACTTGTTGTAAAAGTTCTAAGAAAAATGAGGGCCAGAGAAGTTAATACTGGCCTGACATCAGTCAGTCAATAACAGAAGCAGGACTACAGTTTTTATGCTATAGTAAATACAACCTAAAATAATAATCACCCAGTATTATTTCAAATTTCATTAAGCTGTTCTACTTAGTATAAAAGGGAATCTTAAGCAATTAGATTGTAAATTCAAAAGTAAAGTCCATCTTTTAGTAGTTCCAAATGTTTTCTGAGTAATAGGTGAGTCAATCACCACTTCTTCAAACAAAGATATATTTGAGGCTTTCTTCTGAGAGCCTAACAAACTTCTCAAAAGAATTGTCACAACTGCCCTTGGCCAACCATTGTATATAATACACTAAAGAACTAAGGCAAATACTTCATCACCCAACTTTGAATGGGGGTTAATCCACTGTGTTGTATTGTCAATATTTTGGAATTTGCAACCTTAGGAAGACATGATATAAATTCTATGTGTTTGAGAGCTATAAATGAAACATTGAAGAATTTACTTGAATTTGTCAAATTCCACCCAATCATCCTCTTTCCCTGATTAAAAAAAAAACTGCATGTTTCCAATTAAGTTAAGCAAGGTATTGCTTCAATGCACAAACTCTTTTTTTTTTTTTTTTTTTGTCGGTCGTGGGGCTTGAACTCTGGGCCTGGGCGCTGTCCCTCAGCTCTTCAGCTCAAGGCGAGCGCTCTACCACTTGAGCCACAGCGCCACTTCCGGTTTTCTGGTGGTTTATTGGAGATAGGAGTCTCACGGTCTCTCCTGCCCGGGCTGGCTTTGAACCATGATCCTCAGATCTCAGCCTCCTGAGTAGCTAGGATTACAGGCTTGAGCCACCAGAGCCCGGCCACAATGCACAAACTCTTAAAAGTAAACTACAGATTGTGTGAGTTCTGAGTAAATCATCTGCTCCTCCTCCTTCCTCCCCTCCCTCGCTGCTCCTCCTCCTCTTCCTTCATTTCTTATTTGCCTCAACTAGCTTCTTAAAATTCCATCAATCCTGTACTAACTCACTAGGTATTTACTACAGCTAACAAATTGACACCAGAAGGTCTACAAGGGTCCTGGTTAGGAAAGCTGCCTATCTTCTGGAATAACCAATGCCAACCTACCAATTGAATAGCAATCATTAACACTGTCTTCAAAGTAAATGTTCGGTCACAGAGATCAAACAAATCCTCCAAGCTAGGGCCAAGGAGCTCCAGCACCATGGCATTATATTTCCCACACGGCCCAAAGTAGTATACCTGTGGGAGACCTTCACCTGAAAAGAGAGGAAATGGGGTAGAGTAGGAAACACAAAAAACAAAAATATAAGATAATTGCATCACCAATGATTATGACATTAATTAAGTATAATTGGAGAGATTTCAGTTTCCTTTTATAGTCCTATTAGAAAAGTTAAGAGTGAGCATAATAGTGTCAGTGAGAACTATTAATGGGTTGAAAGGGCTAAGTCATTTTACAATATGTTCAGATAAGCAGTTATTTAATACTAGAGTGCCAAAGGCATTTCCACTACTATATATAAAAGAGAATAGTCCCTGATCCATTATTGGATCAGCATGCAAACTATTTTTCTCAAAGGATGCCTGGAAAGTGCAATATCATAAAAGGTTCAAAGGACGGTTCGATGAGCTCAAAGGCCAGGCTACAGACCTTGCTACATTAGCTGATTTCATTAGCTACATGGAGTTGTCTGTAACTGCTACTCCAGAGAGTTCAGATGGAAGGAACATGGCCAAAAAGGGTGCAGCTGGCCCTAGGCCAGCACAACTGGTCCCTTCTCACAGGGAACCTACATAATGTTCTGTTTTCTATCAACTGGAAAAGTCAATAGACACTTAGCATTTAGTTGCTGATAAGTAATTATGCAAGGAACAGGAGGAAAGAAAATATAAAAAACAATAAAGCTAGGTTTACTCCAGATTTGAAATTTGTGGTTATAAGAAGTCAAACTAGATTTTTCTCACCTAAATTACAACTTGTGAGTCAATTTCCTTACTTTTGTACCAATACTGGGGTTTGAATCCAGGGCCTGGGCACTGTCCCTTATCTTCTTCACTCAAGGCTAGCTAGGGGCTGGGAATGTGACTTAGTGGTAGAGTGCTTACCTAGCATGCATGAAGCCCTGGGTTCAATTCCTCAGTACCACATAAACAGAAAAAGCTGGAAGTGGTACTGTGGCTCAAGTGGTAGAGTGCTGGCCTTAAGCAAACAAAGCTCAGAGACTGGCAAAAAAAAAAAAAAAAAAAAGTGGGGAAGGAGGCTACCTAACACTTTACCACTTCAGCCACAGCTCCACTTTGTTTTTTGAGCGGTTAACTGGAGCTAACCATGTCATGGGGACTTTGCTGCCCAGGCTGGATTCGAACCTTGATCCTCAGATCTCAGCCTCTTGAGTAGCTAGAATTACACATATGAGCCACCAGCCCTAGCTCTGATTTTCTTTTGGTAGTGTGTTACAAATATGAGACATTCAATAAATGTGTTAAATGGAACCAGGAGAACAGTAAATAGTTATGAGACCATGAATATGGTCCAATCAATCTTATCCTTTTCTCTTTTATCTCTTTCCCTCTTTATTAAACAATTTCAACATGGAGCTGGGCACCGGTGGCTCACACCTGTAATCCTAGCTACTCAGGAGACTGAGATCTGAAGATAGCGGTCCAAAGCCAGCCCAAGCAGGAAAGTCTATGAGACTCTTATCTCCAATAAACCACTCAGAAAGCCACAAGTGGCGCTGTGGCTCAAATGGTAGAGCCCTCACCTTGAGCTGAAGAGCTGAGGGATAGTGCCCAGGCCCAGAGTTCAAGCCCCATGACCGACCAAAAAAAAAAAGAATTCAACATGGTTAACCGCTCTATTTTCATACATGTAAGAAAACTATCTTAGAACATATTCATCCCCATATAGGCATCTCAGCAGGTACCCACTGCCCTCAACAGAGCCTATTTTGGTTTCCTGTGGTCTTTTTTCAGTGTGTATTAAGATTGCATCAAGGGGTTCACCATAATTATTTCAGACACACATATTGTGTTTTGATGCAACTACTAATTCTAAAAAATTTCATCCTAACATACAGAAAAAAAATTGTATCCCACACATTTACAGAACTTTTAGAACTTTAGAACTTTTCTAAGCTGGACACTGGTGGCACACACCTGTAATACGAGCTGCTCAGGAGGTTGAGATGTGAGACTCTTATTTCCAATTAACCACCAAAAGCCAGAAGTGCAGCTGTGGTTCAAAGTGGTAGAGCACTAGCCTTGAGCACAAAAAGCTCAGAAAAAGTACCCAAGCCTTGAATTCAAGCCCCAGGACTGGTGAGGAAAAACAAACAAACAGAAAAACCCTCCTTTTCTAGAACCACCCTACCCAATGCCTCTTTTTCACATCTGTCATCCTAGGGAAACTAGAAAGTTACAAATGCCCAAGTTGCTTTTTGCTTGTTACTAAACAGGGAAAACTAAAAAATAGATAGTAGGCAGGCAAGGAATAGACTCTACCACAACTAGCCTTGAAGGATAAAATACATTCAGAAAATAAAATTTCAGTGATGTCAAAAACTATTATATAGAACATAAATTTAAATAAAAAATATTCCTAAATCCCACCTGCCATGTATCTGATAAATAAAATCTGTAACTCTCTAGGATAGAGTTCTGAATTGGATTTCTCAGCAAGACTCATTGGAAACAGTTGTCAGGTTTTGTATATTTCAAATAAACTGAAAAATGAGCTCTTCAAAATAATGGGGGGGTGGGGGGAAGGCACTTCAAATTAAATCCAATTTTTCTTTGGATATAGATAGACTGGAAACAACTATAAGTTAGTAGGAGTGGAGTATATATACTATATTCGATTATACAAATTAGGAATGAACATATTGACAGAAAACACTCAAGTTGTTTACATTATATTGTTTTTATTAATAATGGAAGTGGAGCTGTGGCTCAAGTGAAAAAGCTTAAGCAAAAAAGCTAAAGGATAGCAACCAAACCCTAAGTTCAAGTCTCAAAATGTGGCATGGCACACACACACACACACACACACACACACACACACACACACAAAGATAAATTGGATTGGAGGATTGGCTCAGTTGGTAGAACACTAGACAATGAGTAAAAATGGCTGGTACCAAGTTCAAGTCCTGGTCTTGGAACCAAAAAAAATAATAATATCATACTTCACTTCACGAAGTTATGTATGCATACATCATAGCAATGGTTCTCACATTAATTGCAGAACCTGGGGAAAAGAATTGAATGTTCATTACCTCTGCTTATATTTCACCCATACAAATAAAAAAAAAAAAATAGCCAGGGCTGGTGGCTCATGCCTGTAATCCTACCTACTCAGTGGGCTGAGATCTGAGGATAATGGTTCGAAGCCAGCTAATCACAGAAAAAGCTAGAAGTGATGCTGTGGCTCAAGTGGTAGAGCACTAGCCTTGAGCAAAAAATGGAGCCCAGGACTAGAAAGAATGAAAAAAGAAAGAAAGATAGAAAGGAAGGAAGGAAGGTAGAGAGGATTTTACTGTCTAAAAAACATAGAGGGAGCCAGGTGCCGTGGCTCACGTCTGTAATACTAGCTACTCAGGAGGCTGAGATCTGAGGATCAGGGTTCAAAGCCAGCTAGGGCAGGAAATGCCGTGAGACTATGTCCAATAAACCACTAGAAAATCAGAAGTAGGGTTGTGGCTCACACAGTAGAGGGCTTGCCTTGAGCTGAAGAGTGCAGGGACAGCACCCGAAGCCCAGAGTTCAAGCCCCACAACCGACAAAACAAAAAACAAAACCATGGAGGGAGAAAAAAACAGTAAGAGACCAAAGTTCTTTTAAGAGAGCAGACTCAGTGGAAATATGATGCTTCTGGACGTCCAGAAGTAATCTAGAATAACCAGGTACCTTAAGGATATAAGATGGTACAAGAATGGACAGAGCCAAAAAAAAAAAAAAAGAAAGAAAAGAAAAGAATGGACAGAGCAGGGCTGAGAAGGTGGCTCGGTGGTAGAGTGCTTGCCTTGCATGCATGAAACCCTGGGTTCAATTCCTCAGCACATAAGCAGAAAAAGCCAGAAGTGGCAATGTGGCTCAAGTGGTAGAGTGTTAGCCTTGAGCTGAAGAACTGAGGGACAGTGCCCAGGCCCAGAGCTCAGGCCCTATGACCAGCCAAAAAAAAAAAGAATGGACAGAGCAAAATGAGAAGAATCTGAGTACCTGACAGCTGCAGAGTAACTATGCAATGTTTGACTTCTGTTTCTTCTAGGTTTTTCTACTCTGAAAGAAAAATAAGCTGGGCGCTGGTGGCTCATGCCTATAATCCTAGTTACTAAGAAGGCTGAGATCTGAGGATCATGGTTCAAAGCCAGCCTGGGTAGGAAAGTCTGTGAGACTCTTATCATCAATTAACAACCAGAAAACCGGAAGTGGTGCTGTAGCTCAAATGGTAGAGTGCTCGCCTTGAGCTGAAGAGCTGAGGGACAGTGCCCAGGCCAAGTTCAAGCCCCATGATCACAAAAATAAAAAAGAAAAAAAAAATTTGTATCTTAGCTGTATATATATATATATATACACACACACACATATATATATACATATATAAACAGCCAAATATAATCTAATTAATAAGCATGACTTTTGTTAGCTAACTTGAAAATCTGGGTACAATATCCTCCTTCTAGAGTACAAGCTAAAAGTCAGGCCTGCTTAGAAATGTAATATTAGCATAATGTCCCAGACTTGCTGCCAGTACTCAAAGATCAGTTAAAATGAGACAAATGATCATCTTGTTCTCAATAATCCTCAATATCAAATCTAGGTATTTCTTGCCAGGAGTTTTCACATTCAATAAGAATCCACAAAAGCATCTGGGGGGTAATATCTGTAATTTCTAGTTACACTGTTAGTTATAACTCCTGCCTAGGAAATAAGGAGTTCCTGCTTGCTGCATGATTGCCTTTTATTAAATACCCTGAAGCTGCACAATGGCCCTGGAAAGCTTTGATGTATTAAACACAACTTCTAGACCACTGAGTGGCTTTGAAGCATTTCTAAGAGAGATATAAGGTCCAAGATACTAGTGTAGAAAAAGCTCAATTCAGTCTTGGATCTGGTATTTGATTCTGCCACCCATTCTGGCAAATACTTTTGCTTCTCTCTGGGTGTTGGCTTTTTCATCTATGGAGTGAAAGATTTAAGCTGATTCCTTTTTTTTTTTTTTTTTGTCGGTCATGGGGCTTGAACTCTGGCCTCC